CAAAAGACCAAGAGAATGAAAGCAAACAGAGATCAGTAGCTGCCGAAAAATTATTTTCTACTTTTGAGTCCACATGAAAACGTGGTCTTTAAAAAATTTTTTTATACATTTTATTATTATTGTACTTTATTAGTGAACTTAATTGGTGTACTTTATAAGTGTATTTTATTATTATATTTTATTAGTGTATTTATAGGTGTATTTTTATTAGTGTATTTTATTAGTGTATCCATGTTTTCACAATAGGCCCATCTGGGGTACGAAATAATTCATAAGAAACAAAGAAAATGGAGGGTTTAAAGGTGCAACTAATTCAAAAATGACCATGTGTCAAGCAGGTTGAGCAGATAAGAATGTGCAGCACATTGCGGTAAATAGGTATAAGCTGGTTGTCGGCAGAAGCCTATTCGTACAGGTTTTCACTGTGAACACTTATATTATTATCCTATGTTCAATCTTATGGCAGGTTGGAGCAGGTTGCCCGCGCGGACAAGCCTGCTTTCACTGTGTACGTATATGTACTAACTTTTTAGGTAGTCGTTTTAGAGTGCATGAAAAATAACTACTAACTTGCACGCCACAACGTCCTTTACCCCTTTTAGTGGACAAATGTGATCAAAGACGGACATTTATTCCGAACCGCGTTTGCGTTCAGATGCATCGCTAACTCAAGTAAAATAACTTCCTTTAAATAAACGAGCTTTGAAATTTAGGAACCTTATGAAGTTTATTTCATTAAACTTTGTGACCTTGATACATCCATTCATAACAAGTCTACATCTTTGGACCAATAACACCTCGAAAAATGAGTGATTAAACTTTCGTATTTCAATTATAAACTTGACAAAGACCTTATTTGGCTGACCCTGAAGACCTGCTGATTTTGCTGATAGTAATAAAGTGTCAATGGCCATTTTGAAATGGATGTTTTTGTTACTCGATTCACCGTACAACCGTGCTTAGTTCTGAATGAAAATGCCTGCTTTCGGGAAAAGCTTTTTATTTGGCTTTCATATACTTCATAATTAATATGTGTTATTCAAGATAACTCTCCTTTGATTTATACGGTACCTTTTTAAGAATGGAACTCAATCAATCGTCCAATGCTTCCGAAAAATTTATCACCTCAAGGGAAATTCACTCCAGTTCGGAAGCCACTGCCATTCATTTTAATTTAGTTTTTCTTCTAACAGTCGCTGTACTTCATTAAACCAGTGGTTCCCAAAGTGGGCGATATCGCCCCCGTAGGGGCGGTGGAAAGATTTTGGGGGGCGATAAGGAAGAAGAGAGCGGTAGGGGGGCGGTAGTCCGAAGTCATTGTCAGAAGTTCGTACGTTTGTTTGGCGATTTGTACACAACACGTGCAGCACATGACTCCCAGCAATGGTTTTTTCCCCAGATCGGTATTTTTTTTACCTCCCCTGGGTTGACGTCTCGGACAAATTAACGGCCGGACTCGCGGCCGGTCTCACAGTCAATTTCCAAATTCAATGATCAAGGAATATCTCAAAGTAATGAACTTAACTCGATGAAACTTGGTACACGTATTCATTAGGACCTAATGGTAATGTTTATCTCGCGAAATTTTTTTAAAATTTGCCTTCATTTGTTTTTGCTATAGTTACATGGTAATAGCCTACGGGCCGAAATTCACAGTGATCAAGGAATTTTTCCAAACTACTGAACAGATTCGAACGAAATTTTGAATTTACAGTCCTCACTACCGAACGATAATTTTTGGCTTGTGAAAATTTTTTCGATTGTGCCTTCGTTCGCTAGTTTTCTTTTCATTTCACCTTCATTCGTGATTTAAACAGCAGTACGTGCTTAAATTCGCAGTAATCAAGAAATTTCTTCTGTATAACTCGCGAACGAAAGCAAAATAGAAAAATTGTCACGAGCTAAACATCACCGTTGGGAGGTTAGGTTTTTATATGCAAAATTTCGTTGAAATCTGTTCAGTAGTTTAAAAGAAATTTCTTAATCGCCGCGAATCTAAGCGACAAATTACCCGGCGATACGGGCCGAATATAAGGAAGTGTGAAAGCAAGAATGTTGGTGAAATGAAAAAAAAAAACTCGCAAACGAAGGTGAAATCAAAAATTTTTATAAGCTAAAAAATCACTGTTTGGTAGTTAGGAATGTATATTCAAAATTTCGTTCAAATCTGTTCAGTAGTTTGGAAGAAATTCTTTGATCACTGCGAATTTCGACCTGTATCGCAAAGTAACTCACGAATAAAGGTGAAATTTAAAAATGTTTCACGAGCTAAACATCACTGTTAGATTCTGATGAATACGTGTTCCGAGTTTCATAGAGCTGCGTGCATTAGTTTTGGAGATATTACTTGATAATTGAAGTTGGAGATTGGTCGTGAGACCGGCCACGAATCTGGCCGTAAATCTGCCCGAGACGTCCTAGGTTTCTAGTGCTGAAACAGTTGAAACAGCTGAAAAATATATTGGTTCACTAAATGGGGTTCTATTTGTGAAATACACATTTGTGTGAAACCTTTATCTTTTAAAATTGCAGCGTACCAAATTTCAAGAAAGAAGTGTATGTTTTTGTATGTGTCTGTGGGGGGCGCTAGAAATTCACTAGGTAGCCAAAGGGCGCGCCATCCAGAAAAAGTTTGGGAAGCACTGCTTTAAACTATCTTGTATTAGCAGCACGATGCTTAGTTACCAAGCGGAGGGAATATAACTCGCGTATGAGGTATTAACCGATGAATTACTCATTGACATTGTCCAAAATTATTTACTGGGTAAGAGTCCAACTTCATCTTTACCCACGAATTATAAACAGTAAATTTTTAAATAATATCCTCTTGCGACACAGAAACAATGAACTTTAAGCCGGAGGTTGACATGGCTCCCGGTCCCTTTACGTATTCAAACCCACGAGAGGAATGTCTACATCGACTTCTCACACGAGCTTGTCACGGATGGTACAGGAGTATTCCTGCTAGCCCTGGCATAAAAAAGGATCTCAGCAACTTTTTGAAGCCTTTTTCTGTCGTGGTGAGTTGACTTCATTTAGTATTACCAGTTCAAACTTCATTTAGTATGGCCAGTTCAAACTTCATATGGTATTACCAGTTCAAACTTTATATGGTATTACCAGTCAGAAGAAAAATGTGATACTGCATGCCTTTCTCTTTCGGGATAAGTTGACTTCAGTAGGTATTTGATAAGTTCTAAGCAAGTGTTATACTTGGAAACTTTTTAATCAGCCATCGAATGCTCATAGATTAAAAAAATGAGTCTTATACTCCTTAAAAACTTTTTGAAACCCAACTTAGACACCTACTTCTTACAACATTAAAAAGTTTCACTCGCTTTCTTACTGCTGAAAAATGTTAGAAAAACTCGATCATCAGCGGCGTAACATATACAGGTGATCGCATATTGCATCGTTAACACTAATAATGATACTCATCATGTGTATAATGCACGTACTGCTGAACTCCGTATTGGTGAGCTCCGCATGCGCAATTTTCCTGCGTGTAACTGAGGAAAAAATTCGAAGAAAATCCAACAGAAATGAAGAAAAATCCGGAAAATTATCCGAGTAAACTCGAACGCGTCCGAAAAGTTGTGATGAAACTGAAGCTGCGAGGAAGTGATTGGGTTTTCCCCCACACGCCATCGAGGTAAGATGCCTAGACCTGAAGCTCGCTATTTTCTGGTGAGGGTTAGTCAGCTTTTCAGAAGAATCCTAACTTTGAAAATATATCTATAGTAGACTAGATCGAAAATAGCGCAATGATATCACTCGGACAATATAAGTTGTGCGTGAAATATGCTGTCATGGAAGAAGCTCAGTTGCCGTATGCATGCTAGGAAAAATTCTTCGGGAATTCAGGATTTTAATTATGCTTTGCTAGTGCAGCTAATATTGTTTGCAGGTTGCCGTCGCATCCCACCGCCTCGCCGCACCTGCTCTGCGCACTCGATGTTACTTTGCAGGTTGCCTTCACATCTCCTCGCCTCGTCGCCGCTGCAGCGAAAGTCGTCATTAGACTTCGCCAGTTTCATGAGCTTTTATGGAAGAAAGTGAAGCGATCTCACGGGAGATTTTTACACCTCCTACGTGCTTTAAGCATGGACTATAATAATTATCTTAGCCCTAAAGTTTCAGTGGAAAAGGGAAGAGAATTTTCGGTAGGCTGTCAGTACCTTGGCAGGCCTGGGGCGACGTGCAGCTTCGTTTTAGCGTGCATCTTTCTATTCCCGGTTAGGTTATCCATACTTTGTCTCAAATTTGATGAGGAGGAATTTCCAAACCAGTGCACTGAGACTATTTCTGGTCTGCATTTACGGGCATGAATCTTCAGGTGGGAAGTGAAATGCCACACGCACGACTTACAAAGGATTATGTTAGATGCTAGTATTATCAAATGCATGAAAAAAAACACAGACATTATAATATTCGAATGAGGTTTCATCCGCCACTGAATGATGTTTCGCTTGTTTACGTGCAGATGCTGGTGATGGTGGTGCTGGGAGTGATGGTGGCGCTTCAAGAGGCTCAAGGCTTCTTAAGGCTTCGCAGGTACGGCTTGAGGCGGCGAGGGCCAAAAAGGCCTGCCAGAAACTTCATGATCGGCCTGAAAGTAGTAAATAAACCAAGAAGCATCCACGGTCAAGACGAAAAATTTTATCACGTAAACGGACGCAGTCATTCATTTTACCCTGTTCCGAACATACAGCACTACGCGCATTCTAGGCACAGTCGTGCGCACAATCCTAATTCCTTTATAATGTACGAACCCATGAACGGGCTCGGTCCCAATTACGGGCTCAAATACAAGCAGATTCACAATCGTGGTCCAATTCACGGACACGCTCCAATCTATGGACATGTGAACGGACTCGGTCCTGATCCCGGACCCAAATACGAGCGCAGTCCCGATCCTGGTCCAGTGTTCGCACACGCACCAATCTATGGACCCATAACCGGACTCGGTCCTGATCCCGGACCCAAATTCGAGCGTAGTTCCGGTCCTGGTCCAATGTTCGGACACGCACCAATTTACGGTCCAGTTTTTTTCCACGGAGTGAGCCATCCAGGCCATTCCTTCCTCGGGGGTCACTACCATTGGTTCCCTGATTTCTATCATCATGAACATACATACAACCACAATTCTCTCACTGATCTATCATACGATGATCAAAAGGAGATTAGAGAAAAAGGTTACAGAGAAGAAGACTTCAACGGCACCATGCCTTCAATTCACGGCAAAAATAATGCTGAGCATCAAGCGGGCGGTGAAGTCATGGATGTGTTTCGCGAACATTCGTTCGAACAAGATGATGGCGACAACTTTAACTTTGAGGAGCACTCCAGCGGAGATTATAGCGCACCCATACACAGCCACTTGCCGGAACATTTTCCAACAGCAGGAATTCAGCGCCAGGAGTTGCAATCTACAAATTCAGGACGACCAACCATTTTTCCTTACATTCAACAGACAGAGAATTCAAAAAATTATTGGCCAAAATTTGATTTTAGCAGAACTCGTGACTCGTATATGCAACATGAATCAAGCTACGTGCCAAGAAGCTCCACTCAAGGCAGCCATCACGTAGGTTCACGGCTGATTAACTGTCCATATTCCGATTGCAGCAAGCGATTGATAGAACAAATCTGGAGAAGAAAATGAAAGTGCGACATGCATATTAAATTGCAAGGCTCCACAGAACATTTTACGTAGATATGAAGCAGATAAAATGTATATCAGCGAACGTTGAAACACTGTGAGATTTGCTTTGAAGTAATGCCTCAGTCTACCAGTATACTATTTGAGACATCAAATCTATCATTATGAATAAACTATATTTTTCGGGATTCCTAAAATATTAACGCACATTAAACAAAAATAGAAATGAGTCAACTCTGATTATTATTCATTAAAAGAGAGTCGAACAAGAGTGTTCAATTTACTTAAATCTTCTGCCCATTTATGTCAACTTAATTTCATTAAATTAAAAGATAATATAACTCAAGATTTTAATTGATATTTATTTCCCGGATCGGGGACTGTTCAAAGATCCTAGGACAAAGAAATTGTCACGGAGAAATAAAGCTGCGTCTCTCCATCTATAGAGTCTATATAGACTCTAGAAAGATCCATTGCATGCGCACGAGGCCAACATTTCCACTGTTGATAGATATTGACGATGTGCCGGTTTTCATACCATGCGATTTGATAACGCTATAGAGGAGCGACATTGCGTGTTGAATTTAAAATGAGGCTGACATGAAATATTATCTCTTTTCGCTGTATTTTATGTATTGTTTATCAACAGTAAAATTGAGTGCGAAAGTTGTCGGTTACTAGTCGAACTAAGAAGCTACTTTCCATCAAGAAAAAACACTGGGAAGCTCAAGAAGAGGGCGTTCAATGCTCGAATGAGCTTGAATTGAATTCGAAAAAAGTAGATTGCACGTTACGGAGAAGATCGCGTTGCCAGAAAATCTCCTATTCCTCGTCCTCGTAAATATATCTGAGGAATCTAAATTAGCGCATGCCCCTTGTTTGTGTCTATTGTTTTAGAAATCGGCAAGATTTTAACTTACCTCTCAAATTGGTATGTTACTTGATCAATCCTCGGGAAATTTCAAGTATTTGATGTTGCAACTTTACTTTCCCATTGCATTTTTATTATTTCCTCTGAAGATTTCTATTGCATGCAGACACTGAACTTAGTGCACAGCTCCTCGAGGGCAGGCTTACTGCGCTCAATACAGTAGTAAATAAATAAACCTTCGAGATCATTCTGATAGTCTTCGAGATCATTGGTCTAGCCGTGTACCATACAATGTGGAAAACACCTCTGTACCAAGATTAGATATTTTGTTAGTTGAACGGTCCCATATATATATGTATACTTGACTTTTTCCGTTTTATCCCGTGGACAAAATAATAATAAATAACTTGCTGGCTTTGCCCTAATGTAATCACATTTTGCGCCTCTACAAGTTGTCAGAAGTGAATATACTATTACATTTTCTAATAGCCCAATCAATGCATTCTACCAAATTTAAGTAGGTACTGCAATATGATGTTTTCGAAACGCATTTAAAATTGTTCAAAAGCTTATGTAATAATGAGAAATGATGACTTTCTACACGTTAAATTTTTTATAGTTATATGCACGTTCAGAGAGTATCAGACAGTGGTGGACCGCCTGCAGATCAATTTAAGTATCTTAAATTATGCGAGTTGTTTAAATTAGGGAGACTACAACTATACTCACCATTCCCTAATGCTGATTAAAAATATATGTTGTGCATCCTTAATGTAAATCATGAATTAGTAATTTGGATAATGTGTATAATAATAAATCATTGATTCCGGATAAGAAACATGTGTTGCACTCTTGCCTCATTGTGTAGAGGATCTCAGCAGATCAGTTGCGCCCAGAGTCCTCTTTTTCTTCACCTTCACCTAATTTTACCTCTGCATTAAATATGTTAAGCCTTTCATGAAGGTTGCCAATATTGATATTAATGGTTATACTCAAATAATGCAGATATTTTTACCACTACACAGGAATTGAATGATAACTTGAAATGATCAGAAATTATTATATTAATCGCAGTCCTATGCTGAGACGTTGTCTTGGAAGTTACGTGAATAGACTAAACATAAATAATTATATAAGACATCCAAATATTGTTAGTAATGAAGTTAATTTACAACAATTTGAAGGAAGTTTCATTAATTCGAATAATTTTGTATTTTATCTTTGTAAATTTGAATTATCAGATGGACGCAACTGGATTCACTGTTGATGAAGTCCATGAACGATGCTATACTCGTAGAATTTCAGAATTTGTAAAGTTACAAAATTTGTTAAATCTTTTTTTGTCGCCTCATCATTCTTCTATATTAAATTCAGTTTGGACGGTGATACATGTAGTTTTGGTATTTATTTGTAAACAACACTAGATATTATTATTTGTAAACAACATAAAAACAGGAAGTTGTGGCACCGAGTTTTTAACATCTACTTTCACCCTTTTACATTGCAATTAATTGATTAGACCAGTTATATCTGTAGTTATAATCCATAATTGATTGGTGATATTTCGGACTGGATCAATAATTGGAGCTAATATGGGAAATAATCATACCTGACCATGAAATTGTTACCTAACTAGGCTTGTAGCGGCATCTTGAAGCAATACTTGCTAAAAAAACTGACAACTATTACTTGCCCCATGTACAAGTCTACGCGCAGGGAAAATTAGGTACGGTAATATAGAATATTATAGCCGGTACTGCTAACTGACAACTTGCTCCGCGTACACGCGCACCCTCTTATAGCCCTTTACGGCAGGCGATTGCGGCTACACGTAATAATTCCTGATCATGTCAGACGAAATATTTATGAACGAGGAGTGATTTAACGGTATGAAATCGCTGCCCTGTTTCACTGGAAATTTCATTTGTTCATTGAACGAGGAAATAATCTTTGATTAGAGCGAGCATGCAATGACAATATAATGTAATATAGTTACTCTTGTTTTCTTATTACAAAAATCAGTCGTATATTGCACTAATTTCTCACGTAATTTCATTATGTCTGAAGCACATGACTTGTCAATATCGTTCAGGCTCGCAGAGCAATCAAATCTGTCAAATTATTTACGATATCTGTATGATTTGATAAGAAATAGCAATCGATACTATCACTCTTGCGATAACAACCGATCGAAAAGTTGACCCAGATCGAGCTCGTTGCAAAATTGTACTTTTTAAACAGATTAAACGGTCGTGCTCTTTCCCACGTAATATTGAGTTCAAGTCTTGAAAAATAAAAATAATAATCCTTGAAAAATAAATTGCAGCGAAAATGTATATACGGTAACATTTAAGGAAGTAATACATAGTGCTGGTTCATATATAGTGGTTACCTTTATTAAAACCACCAATTTCATATTTTAAAGATTGGGTGATATTGGTTCAATATGTTTATTAGGTAGATCTTCCAAACAAAAGTCTTGAAATATAATTGCTTGGAGAACGTTTTGTTTGCATGCAGCTATGATTCTTTTAGGCGATGCTGTGCATACGAAGTAAAAGAATTTGAAAATTATAAGTAACAAAATACATGTGCATAATCTAATCTATTCAATAAATTGTGTGAATAGTGTCAACACATAATTGGCTGAAAACCAATTACTTGAAATTAGTGGTTGTGAAGAAATAAAGTAATAAAATTTTAATGAGAAATTATTCCCGATTTGGTTTCCTGAAACCGTCACAATATTTGTTCCAAATTTCACTTGGAGGAATTCTCCTTTCAAATAAGCATGATATGGAATGTGCGTGAGAAATACACCGCGCACCACGAGAATAAAGCATATCTTTTATAGCTCACGTCCCAGTCCTAAAACTGAGCGTGTTGTGAAATACTACACGTATGACCATCGTCCAAGTCACCCTACGGTGGGAGACTTATTCCACTCTCACTCATCATGCTGGGGAACTTGGTAGAGCGGTAGACATTTCGGCATTCGGGTAACGAATAACTGGTGCTGTAACGAATAACAGCTGCTATAACGAATAACAGGTGCTGTAACGAATAACAGGTGCTGTAACGAATAACAGGCGCTGTAACGAATAACAGGCGCTGTAACGAATAACAGGCGCTGTAACGAATAACAGGTGCTGTAACGAATAACAGGTGCTGTAACGAATAACAGGTGCTGTAACGAATAACATGTGCTGTAACGAATAACAGGTGCTGTAACGAATAACAGGCGCTGTAACGAATAACAGGTGCTGTAACGAATAACAGGTGCTGTAACGAATAACAGGTGCTGTAACGAATAACTGGTGCTGTAACCGTACAGCTGGAGTACAGTGCAACGCGCCGCCACTCACTTTCTCTCAAAACGCATAACATTTGAAGTGGCTAACTTTTTCCCTGGATTGTATTGAATGAGAAGTACGAGACTCGAATGGATCATAGAATTATTGGTTTTGTGTCTAACGAAAATGAACACAAATGATATTGCGTACTATTTTTAGATGAGTGAGATAACCAATTAAAAACGTTGCAACATCACAACACGTGCGATCTTAGCAATTATAATACATTATACACCTAAAAAATTTTTGTACAACCATCAAGTCCCGCCCCCTTTACTGCAATGTATGAACACTTGACAAAGATTTTCGTCGTTCAGAGACCATTTGATATCGGGAAAGCTGTCGCTGATTCTCATGTTGACATATTATCTCCCTAAGGTATTTCCCCTTTCTTTAGCTTGCTATAATTCATCAGTAATAGACATTATCTGCTGGGGGCAGAAGATAAATGCAAATGTTAAAAGACCTCCGGAGGCAATCCTTCTCTCGCTCGGCGCAAGCGAAACAAATCAATGAAAGCTACGAGCCCAGCGGCGAGTAATAACGGCGCGGAAATCGCTTACAGGCAAAAGCTCTGATGTGCGAAGACTGCAAACCTGTGGCACGACTCAATACATAGTTACGATATCACCTTTCTATAAACAAAACGCTAATTCGGCGTTAAAAGTTATTCGGCCGTCATCAGACGTGAAAGATGTGTTCAAGGACTTGAATAACATGGTTTAATGAGTGAATTTCTAAGATTCATCTTCGAGATCCGGTTCAAGTAACCTTCGGGATAAAAATCGAAAGTCTGCCATTTCTTATCAGAGGACGATTAACGACCTAAGATTTTTAATCTTAGAACGATTAACGTCCTAAGATTTTCGAAATTGGTTTCTCGACACTAACGACACGGTACATTTATGCAGTTTGAAAATGCATAAATCGATTGTAATATCATAGTCTGTAATATGGTGCAGTTTGTCGGCGTTATGGGAAGTAGAGGGCTCTAGTTCTGCAGTGTGCACCGCTGCATTAAATGGAGGCGAGTTTCACTTCATCTAGTAAGTCATCTAACTAATGGTCGCATACATGAGAACAGTTCTTGTGGATGATGCGGCTGAGAACTTAAATAGGTTTACTATGTAAGTGAAATCATTTTTTTACGATCAAAATTTCGCGTATTTTTTTTTAAATCCCAGTGTCAAATAAATTGTATCAAGTTATTTTAATGAATATGATGTGTATTATAGATTTCTTCCGTTAAGTTTAACAGTTCAGTTTCACTAACAATGTATTCAGTGAAATAGTACACATTCAAATATCGAAACAATGATACCTACTAATCAGATTGTTTAAAATTTCACGAAAAAAACGCCGAAAAATGTAGCAATTACTAAAGGGAACCAAAATGCCACGTTTTTATCAGGATTTTTTCCTAAAAATCCACCAGTAATGATAGCAAGAAAAATTGGACATGCAGGGGCTGAAAGGAAAAGCTCCAGAGCAGTTACGAGATGCCATAGAGTTCCTGAGGTGTAAGAATCGTGCGCCTGGAGGCCCGTGTGATGACTTACGATGGAATATTGAGCGATTTTTATCGTCTCAAAATGACCGCTTCCCTTCCATTACTGGCAAATAACGCATATTTATCTGAAATTAATGAGTTCCGATACTAGCCAATAGCAATGTTATGAAAAAAGTGTTTGTTAGAACGAGCAAACTGTATAATTAATGTGTAGGCTTTTTGCAAATTATTACAATTATTCCCCTATCGGATAATCATCGTTTTATTATTCCCTTCAATTATTGCCAAACCTTTTCCGACATTCTTAATTTACGAGCTTGAATCCGAGAATATTTTTGAATTTTTTTAACTCACGGAACGCAAAATTTCGAATGGAAGAAATTGAACAAAAACATAAGAATATCATCAGAAACAGTTCAACTTGGCTGGGATTCACGAAACGGTAAAAATTCAATTAAAAAACAACTAAAAAATGCAATACTTCAACTAAGTAAGTGAAACTAGCAGTAAAGTAATTTATTTCTGCTTTATTTACACAGACTACATTGCACCGAAAGCAGCTCATGTAGATGGCGCACTGTTGAGCAATAATTGGTATTTCTGAAATTGGAAGCTTTATTATAGTAGATTTTAAGAGTTACACACCACATACAATGGGAATGGGAATATTATTATGGTTTAAACCTCTATATGGCAGTGGCGTCACTGTGCCGGTTTTATATAGTGGGGCTTAAGTAAGCCTAAAATGTTCTGAAATCCCTAAATAATTTTGTGTTCAAGCATTATTATCTCTCTACAAAAATGCCGACCACTTCGATATAATGTGGCCTGAATATACTTTTAAATAAACAACCATACAACCAGTGATTATTACCTTAACTTAAGCATGATCATCAATCTTATGGGCTTATCCCCCCTGCATTGAAACCTGGGGCTTAGCCTCTTCTGTCCCTAAAAACTAGTGACGTCCCTGCTCTACGTGTAGATTATTTATCAAACCCTCTCAATTTACCTATGTCGAGGCACTATGCGTAACCCCCATGCCCTAAAATTGAGTGCACCCACTGATCTCTTTCTCGAGAAAGAAAAGTCGCGGTTGCCATATTTTGACATATCCGAATTGCTTCCGCAATCCCAGCCATCATGGACCACATATGAGTTGTTGCACAAAATTTTAAGCCACCGCTGTCGTACATTTCGGCCGCACGAGCGACTGCGTTGCTTTCAACGGCATTTACGAGCGGCGTTTTTTTCAAGTCTGTCGGAAGCTACGTACGTCAGCGTGGGATTGCTGAAACGCCTTTTAGCTTCGGCAATCAGCGTCGCTTGAAGCTGCGGTATATAAGGCGCGTAGATGAATCTGCTGTCATCAGATCGCAGCATCACCGACCAACATGGACATCAAACTGGTAAGGTCTCCAGGCGTTTCATGCGAATACTCTACTTAAAACCATGCAATAATATAATATTAGGCAAATATTAAGTGCCATACATAGGCCACGAATTTATGGAAATTCTCTGCGTTTTCTGAAGGCTCACGTCGTTCTACAAAATTTGAATTTGGTATATTTAGAGTCAGATTAGACTTAACTACCTTGTAGATATTTTCACCTCTAAATAAAAGTTTATGATACTCCTCAGTGTGCCGAGGTTATCCGTTACGTTGTAGTGTTGAAGGTTCCACCACAAATCGGATTTACAGGATACAAAATAATATTGCACTCTCATAGTCCAACTATCAGTTAAAATGATACACTGTATTACGAGTAAATTATTAAATGATATACTCGTAAATTGCCACGTAATTAAGATTGCGCTGAGTTATGATAGTTGCCAACCGAAAAGACGCTGAGCTTAAAGTAGGACGTCACATTTGGCAGTGCGGGTAACAATTTCAATGGATTTTATGCAAAGAACCGGACGAAATGTAAACAAATTGTTCAATTTTTTAAAATTAGACATACGCTCTGCTGGGCCAGTGCCGTAGATACTTTTTCATTGGTAAAAGATAAATGTTTCTACTTTCGATTAATGGGAAAAACATTCTTGGCTTGGTAGTTCATAATTCTATTGTTCATCTACCAGGTTTTACTCCTGCTGGTGGTGGCAGTGGTTGCCATTACAGCTGCCCCTGGTTACGGTCATCACAAGGGTTACGGTCATCACAAACACATTGGCCATCACGGCCATAAACACGGACACCATCATGGTCACAAACACGGTCACGATCACTATCACAAACATGGCCACGATCATAAGCACGGCCATGATCACCATCACAAACACCACCATAAACACTCTCATCACCACAAACATTCTCACTACCACAAGCATCACCATGATCACCATCACAAACATGGTCATGACCACAAACACGGACATGACCACCACCACAAACACGGACATGACCACCACCACAAACACGGCCATGATCACCACCATGGCCACAAACACGGTCATGATCACCACCACGGACACAAGCACGGACACGGACACAAACACGGTCACAAACACGGCCATGGATACGGTTATCATTAGGTGAGTGCGTTGAGGTCGTCATGGATACGTGCACTACCGTTCAGGGGTGCTTTACTACCTAATTTTTGACATGAGACTTGAGAGTGAGTGAACAAATACGACTCCTTCTAGAATCCCACTCCACTGATAATTTTCATAGTATTTCTATCTGTGCAAACGAAAGGTATCAGAATATTTAATCGCTTGATATAACATATATTTTTACGATTTTCAATACAAACGCCTCTGCTTAAGCAGTTATTTTTAGAAATTAACGGCTCTCTGTAACTGCCCCGTCAACATAAAAGATCCTTATGCCAATCGTAGATGAAGTTTCATGCGACTCCTGTGCCGCTGCCATCACTGAAATCTGCAAATAATTAGCCCAATTTAACAATATTTTTATTACAACAGCCATCTTCCATGCAGGTGCCCTTTTGGTGCCGATGCTCCCACAAGAGCAGCAATAATGTCCCGGTATCGTTGTCAGGTCGCCGCCTTGTGCCGCTGTTGCGATCTGCCGACACGTCCCGCCGCCTCCCCTGGCCTCCGACAACCGACGTTTGTTATGCCATCCCATCGACCGTCCCGACGTTCAGGCCGCTGTGACCTTCCTGACTGACTATTTTTACTTTGTTATTAATAAAATAACACAAAATGTATCTAACTTATTATTACCGAATTCGTTCTATTTTACAACACTTCTCTTTAACTTCACTTCTTGTTGTTTGTCTGCTACAAATCTTGTATTCGAAATTCAATATACTTCTACTTATTCTATCGATCTGAAATTTTGCACACTTGTGTAAAGTTGGAGACAATGCATGAATCAAATGTCAAAATAAATGATTTTAGAAAATTAAAAAAAGTTCTCTTTTCAATATTAAAAAATTGAAAAAATAATTTTGTCAGCTACAAATCTTATAACTGATGTTTGACACACTTTTACCTGTCTAATTGATCTGAAAATTTGCACACTTGTGTGAAGTCAGAGGCAATGCATGAATCAACTAACATAATAAATAATTTTGAAAAAAAGTTATATACTAAAAAAAATTTATATATTAAAAAATTGAAAAATTAATTTTTTTAATATTCGAAAATTAAATGAGAAATTAATTGTACATCTATAAGATTGGAGACACTGGATTCTTTGGAAGTGTTGTCTTCAAAAAGTAATTTTTAAATGTATATTATTATAAATGATCTTAATCATCGGTCTGATTGTATAGTGGACCCTGAATGCACAACAGCTAGCTGGGTTTCTGATCAAGTTTTTTTCAAACCCATTGCAAAGTATTCATCAAATACTAAGAAAATAGAGTCTGAATATCTAAAATCTTACAGAGATTAAGTCATAATTTCATCAAAAAATTTATTTGAATAAAATATTCAAAAATAAAAATGATTGTAAATAGAAGACGAAAATTAATAGTTACGGAAATCGTTCTTAGACATGGACAATGAATGGTCTCTCGTCAAGTGTAAGCGCCGATTTTGTTGGAAATTTATTAATAAATCAAGATAAATCTAATTATTTGTTGAAACATTCTGACTATGTGAATTATGGGACACAGATCTGTTTATAGTTCGAGAAATTGTTTTCTTGTCAAAACTTGTTCCCCAAGGAAATTTTAAATCCCGAAAGATGAAATTCGAGGATTGCTTAGTTAAGTAAGCGACAAGTTTTATCTCCATCTGAACGAATATTAGGCTATTTTTGGTAAGGTTGGAATTATTATTTTGAACGTAATACGACATCGCTGCTCGTTGTAGAATGTCAATGGCTTGAAATTTCTACGATTTTCGATTCAGAGACACAGTTTTGCGTAGGAAATATAATAACAGAAATAAATCATTACATATAATAAAATTATTTATTATACTTAGTATCAAGGGAGCGAGCAGCATTCATGACACGAAAATGGGCTCATAATCCTAATGTTGCCTATATATATTGATGGCTGCCTGATTGCAGTTGTTTTCCTACGAACGGATCGGTACTTCCCCCGGTGCACGTACTTGAACATATAAAATAAAACCAAGATAAGCATTATCTATATACACTGAGGACGGTCTTACTTCATATACGGATCACGGTAGTAGAAATCCGTTGTATTTGTCGTAAATAAATGTCTGGAAGAGTTAAAATGAGTCAATACAAAATAAACAGCCGCTGCTGTAATGTTCGAATGCAAAAATTTACAATTAACCAAATCGATGCATGAAACAACGCAACCAAACAAAGACTTACTGACATAAATTAAATATTTCATGAGTGCCAATTTGCACGATTGTCACTGACAAAGCTATGAAATTTTGGCGGTCTTCTAAAAATTACGTAACTCCCTAAAAAAAAATGCTCGACAAGGAGTCCTAAAAGCGTTTGAAATTTTAGCAAATTATCATAAACTGTTTCGGTGATTGTAAAAATTTAGATTTCAACCACGTGCACACCTGCTCTATAACGCAGGTTGTAGGTACACGTGCTTTAGGTGTGTACTTATAAGCTGGTTGGTGATCTCATAGACCACTTCAAAATCTCACGAAGCAGAATATTATTGTATCCGATTTCGAACAATAGCATGCATGAGCTTTTATTACATATCGGCATTGCACAAGAGCTTTTTTTTGTCTGGGTTACGATCGAATAGCCTGATCTGGCTTTTCAAACTCTTCTGAGGAAGTTATAATATTGAAGGGTTAATGAATTAGGATTGAAAACTTCTGATAAAAAGAAACACGGCAGCACGAGGTTTTGTTCTGGAATTCTGGAGATTCACCGCCCCTTCTGCAGTGCGCATTCATGCTGAATATTACGACGCGATTGTGTCGAAAAGCCTTCTTAAGATTCTGGGTTCCATTTTTGGTGCTTCGGACTATAAAAGGATTTTGTAACTGCGGCATATATTGTTACGGAAACCTTGCCTAATCGCGCTTACAGTTCAAATCCAATTGGACATTTTAATCGATAGGTTTTTATGTTTTACAGTTCGTTTTAGGACTTCAAGATTTAATATTTTGTGTAATTCTTTATATATTAACTTCATAGGTTGTAATTTACATGACTTAAAATTTTTGAACTAATGATACAACTGGTCTTCGAAAGGTTTTCGATTAAGATTCTTACTTAGATTCATTTGTAAATTACTTGATTATAAAGCAATAATTAACCAGTCACAGAGAATTTAACTCGGACCTTGCAAATGTATGTCAATAATTCTGACATAGAAAAATCAATTCTACCCTAACATAAACGGAAAGATTGTTCGCTGAACTTTCATCTGCAGAGTCATACCTTTGGCTTCAGAGACTCGACCCTACTTTAACATCTACATGGAGATTGCAGGTTGTGTTTACAACTGCAAATTCTTTCAGATGAGAGATGAGACCATTGCGTGCTGATAAAATTCGTCCAAAACAAACTCAAAATTTTGTAATTTAAATCATCCAAATGGTGTGGAAAGAACTGAGTATATTTTACTTCAATCAGTGCCAAATGGTTTGCTTGAGAATTTTTTGGCTTACAAACGCACGCAAGTTTAACCTTTAATTAAAATTTTATAATTTTCTAATATATTTTTAAAAATTCAGTAGCTGCCACGTGATATATAAAGTTGTAGTTCGGAAGAATGTATCATGTATTCCTCTAAGAATAATTCAATTGCTTATCTTTCTTCGAACGTTTGCGAGGTTCTCGCTGAGGTGACGCCGATGTAATGAAACGTTATAAATGGCTGGTCTGGTGAATCCCCTAATCTAGTAAAGTAGTTTAATATGTGGAAAGCCTGGTGACTTTCGATGCTTGCTGTCGAACAACAAGCGGATGAATATAAAATAATGCCATAATGACAAATCATTTTTTTGACAATTATACATCATTTATCCTGCGGGCACGTATCCACAACACACATCGCAAAAGGATATGACCTGGGAAATTGTAGATTCCATTGGAATTTTAAATAATAGTTAAAGAGAGTTACGGGCTCCCGGTGGTCGGAGAGGAAGCTAAAAGCATTTTCGGGACTCGGGATGACGGAATTCGTGATGACGCAATGACGAGATTCAGGATGAAAGGGTTCGGGATAACAAGAGTTGGTAAAAGTAGGAACAAATCGCAGTCACAACCTGGTTTACATCTAGCAACTTATAATCATTATTCACAAGAATGAGGGAGGGCGCTTTGGCCCACAAATCTATGGCATTTATAATACTCGTGCACGCGTCTGCATAATAACTTAGTTGAACTTTGTCACCAAATCAGAACACTAAAGTGAACATGAAATAGTTCAAATAACTAGCAATTTTATGATATTTAATAGTCGTATATTTCGTATCATAAATGAAGGATATGAATGATCTTGCTTACCAATTTTTATGTCGTAAAAAATATTTCGTAACTTATGAATTGGCAGCATCTTTCCTTCTCTGTAGATAATAAATAAGCACTGTGCATCTTTTTTGAATGATTTAGGAATTATTTATCTCAGTGAACGATTATTCAAACAACTTTTGTTTTTTTCTAACTTTCTAATATTGTGCTAACGTAAAGAAAATTTTGACGTAATTTAAAATAACTTTAAATATATTCTTTATCATTAATATGTCGAGTAAAACTGCAGAGAACTGATTAGTTTCGATAGGCCCCTATGAACCGAATTTGACTTCATTGAGTATTAATTTATTTTCAAATTCTTCCCTTAACTTGTACTTTATAGATCAGTAAATAATTATAATAAGAAATCGCAAGTTTTGCATATCACCAAAAAGTATTAACTCAATTATCATTATTAGTTAACAAATTCACATACATAATCAAAACAAAATGTAGGAGCATAATAAAACGTAGGAGCTTCACCGTGACCAGGCCGCCAGACCTGCCGATTGAGTTGGCTATGCCGAGCTGATCAATCTACACTAGGAGCTGAGAACGAATAGTTTAACAGACTGATATCAGTTGACAGTTAGCCAAGCTGTCACCTGATGATAGCTTTCACAATCAGAAATATCCTACAAAAGTTTCTTGAAATGTTAAGAGTGCGTATCAAGATGATCGAGTTATAAACTCGACAAATTCTCCAGCGCCGACGCTGCTATATGCTATTCATACTCAAACAGTTCAGAAAGTTTACGATCATTAAGGAACAGTTCAAAAGTTGTATGTAATACATAACATGTTCCCTCGATTCTAATTGACAAGGAACAGCATGAAACTATTCAGTTATTTTGCTTCTGCTAAAACGACGGTTGTATCGCATTTTGTTCAAAGAACTTTTAAGATCAAATTGAATAAAAAGTAAATTCACTCCTTGATAAGGAAAAATTAACTAAAACAGTAAATCTACTTTTTTAATCCTTTAGTGGGCTACTAGGAGCAGATGGATGGTGTACTGTAACAGTTGCAGTATTCCAGATCGTGTGTTAGGCAGTAAAATTTGTCATAATTTTAAAACTATTCAGTAATATTTCATGACTATAGAAAGTGCGCATACCATCTGCAACGCCCGCATTCGATGGGTGAGGTCCTAATGTAGTGAGACATTCGTTCACACATGCGAACGTTCACACGTCGTTCACTCATGTGGACGATGCAAACGCAATTGTAATTGCCGGTCAATTAAACAACGACGTAAGAACATAGGCCAATGTTTAAAAAAATTACTAATTTCAGATTTTCGCAGGCTCGAAAAAACCGATATTTTTGTACGAACGGAGAGGATTGCATCAGTTTTAGGTGGTAGCGGTGGATGGAAGCTTCCGTCTCATGTGCATCCTTGTTATGGAATTAATTATACTTTGCCTCAAGAAATCCTACTCTGAAGAAATTCAGATTCCATCAATTAAAATGATGAACACAGTCTGTTCAAATGCTGATCAATCCATAAAATATCCGAACGGCTTAGATTAGCATTTAAATTATTCGCATATAAAAGTATTCGCACTTAAACTTCAATTGATTTCTTAAAATTGAAATAAACTTGAGCGTCTAATCAGTAGATTTAATCAGGAGTTTAATTGACTTGCATTTTAAAATCATATTGACAAATGACGATTTAGAAAAGTTGTTGAGATTCTGTATGAAAGTTCTCTCACAATAACTGCCAAGAAGTTTTGCCACAATCGACCAAGAATTTTTTAACTATGCCATATACGACATCAGCGTGACGGTTGGAATGTCTTTGGCTTCGGCAATCAGAGTCACAGCCGCAGTATATAAGACGCGGAGCTGAATCTGCTGTCATCAGAACGCAGCATCACCGACCAACATGGACATCAAACTGGTAAGGTCTCCAGGCGTGTCATGCGATTACACTTTTTTAAATAATGACAAGATCAAATTAATCAGATGCATAATAATATATAAAGCAAGAAGACACAGGTGAATTGCTTGCATATAATAATTCTAAACTTAGCTTTTTGAAATTATTTAAACTAATTATAGGAGCTAAATGTCCGACTTTTACGTATGCCGAAATAATATTTCGATCTAAAAATGAAGCCATCTAAATCTATATTTGTCTGAGTACGTGTTCCTCTGTGATAAATAAATTAATCATTATCTTCAAAAACCTAAACTTTGTTCTTATGGTTTGCGGAAGTTCAAAGTTCATTTTGTTAAACATTTCTGTCTTTGTGTCGTCTGAACAAATTGCGACCCAGAATCACCATTTATCGTTGCAGTTATACAGTACTGTTCACGCACAACATGGCTGACACTCAACAGAACGTTCATTTAACTCAGTTGTGTATAGATTGACTGGAGAACAGGGTTTGGATTCGACGTCGTTGCTAGATTGATCAATAATTCTATTGTTCATCTACCAGGTTTTACTCCTACTGGTGGTGGCGGTGGTTGCCATTACAGCTGCCCCTGGTTACGGTCGTCACAAGGGTTACGGTCATCACAAACACATTGGCCATCACGGCCATAAACACGGACACCATCATGGGCACAAGCATGGGCACAAACATGGTCATGATCACCATCACAAACATGGTCATGACCACAAGCACGGCCATGATCACCATCACAAACACTCACACCATCACAAACACTCACACCACCACTCGCACAAACATGGACATGATCACTCCCACAAACACGGTCACGACCACGACCACGGCCACAAACACGGCCATGATCACCACCATGGCCACAAACACGGTCACGATCACCACCACGGCCACAAACACGGTCACGATCACCACCACGGCCACAAACACGGACATAAACACGGCCACAAACACGGCCACGGATACGGTCATCATGGTTACCATTAAGTAAGTATGTCGATTTTATTTACAATAAGAAATTTTAAGCGATGAAACAAAAGTACAATGTTGTGCGTTACTTCGTCCAGTCCCAGAGTTGAGACACTTCAATTATAATTACAATTGAAAACTCTTGTGCTATACATTCTTCCATTATTATTACGAGTGAAAAATTTTTTTCTATATAGTCAAGCCCATTAATGCCTCTTGCGTAGCATCTTGCACAGAAACGCTTTCGGGGGTTTAAAAAAATTAACCGACGCAAGTGAAAGCTAAAGCAGCTAAACGAATCCTTAACAGTCGTAGATCTAGTTTCATGCTATTCCGGCTCAGTTGCCGTCGCAGGAATCTATCGGTAATTTGATCAATTTAATATGATGATTTATAAAAACAACCAACTTCCAAGTGACTCTTATTCGTCAATGCTCTGAAACGAGCAGCAATAATGTCCCGGTATCGTCGTCAGGTCGCCGCCTTGTGCCGCTGTTGCGATCTGCCGACACGTCCCGCCGCCTCCCCTGGCCTCCGACAACCGACGTTTGTTATGCCATCCCATCGACCGTCCCGACGTTCAGGCCGCTCTGACCTTCCTGACTGACTATTTTTACTTCGTTATTAATAAAATATTACTAAGTTGATTCTGTTTATTGTTTGTACATTTACATTACATACATCACATGTCATGGGCTGTTAGCAGTGTGTCCCCTGATCGTCTAATGCTTACTATTTAAGTTTCCTCAACCGATTTACGAATCAAATGTTGCAGTTGCTGTAAACGAAACTATGAAAAGCTGCGATAACAAGATGACTGAAGAAGAAAACTTCATTAAGATCCTATTTCAGCCCAAAGACGGAAACATTCATATAGTTGAAAGCTGCATTCTACCTTTCTGTTTTCATAATTATGTGAAAAGGTATTTTAATTTATGTTGATAATAGGGATAACTTAGCACGTAGGCATATACCAATAAATATCGAGTCATAAGACTTATCGAGTGTGATCGCAACCAGATGATAATTATCGTACAATCTGTAACATTTACAATTACCATCACACATGAATCCAATATTTATTAAATTGTAACTGAGCTATTAATTATTTACTGATTTCCCTGTTGTAGGTCCTGCAACACAACAAAGGTTATCTGAATATTCGATGTGCGTACTGGCTCTGACTTAAATGCATTCGTGGACAAACATAAAGGCAAAGTTTTTGGATACCTACTCTTTATTGGAGGCTTTTTGTTTGTAGGCCTACTCGTTCTTACCTACTTATTGTTGGGTTACCTACTTATTGTTGGATGCCTACTTCTTGCTGGATAGCCACTTGTCACTGCGAAACCTGATGGTCGTTGGGCACCTATTGTTGTTAGATTGGATTAGATTTGTTAGTTAAATAACCAACTTATTGCTGGTTACGTACTTGTTGTTAGTCAGTTATTTCAGGAGAATCACTAGTTTCAGGGTTCCTACTTGTAGCTGGGAATATATTTGTTGTTGGATATTTGTTTTCTGAAAGCAATTGGTTGCTGGGTACCAATTGTTTTTGGATGCTACTTGTTGTTGGATCCCACCTTGTGCTAGGGTAACTACGTATTGTTGGATACCTACTCGGTATTTGATGCCTACTTGCAAGTTGCTGGGTACCCACCTTTTGGTTTGGTACATACTCGTCATGGACAATGATTTACTGATGAAAGCCTTCTTACTGTAAGTAGCATTGCCAGACAGAGCTGGCACAACAAAGAAACTCAGGCATTGCTGGACTGCGCTGAAAATGATCGAACCCAAGTTTCTTTAGGTCGCAATTGATCGCTGTTTTCTTGTAAACTGTTAGAATTGCCATGGCTTGCTAGTCGCATGGTCGAACGGTCGATCGTGAACCGAGATTCCAATTATAATGTAACTGAAGTTTCAGCTTTTTCAGTTTCCATGTTTACTGGAATTTGCCCAACGAGAAATAGTACATTCAACATGGTTTCGAATTTCTTGCTCCTGTAACATTTGTATAGACCAAGATACTGATGACGCAATACCGGAGGAACCCAGCAATTCGGTTCGTTTGAAATGTCTTTTTAAGTAAATTTATTATCCTGGTGATTACCTCAGTTCATATATTGGTTATCTCATTTCATATATTGTCATTTCATGTATATATAGTTTCTCTTCCTTGTATTATTCTTATGTGTATTTTTGTCATTTTCTAGAAACCGTACATCATGGACCACTTGTTTCATATCCTGCCTTGGCGGTGCGTCTTAGAATATTACAGTGAAAATTCTCCATGGATTATCATACAAAAAAGTCCTTTATAATTTATTTGGAGAGATCGTGAACCATACAATGATTTGTATTTCCGCTCAACAATTCCGCTGAACAATTGAACATCACTCACATACCCGCGTATATCCTCCAACAGTGGAATTTGGCATTTGGCTATCATTGATGTCAATTTCCCGTAGAATTTATCTGCTTTCGGTTTTTCTTGCAAATATTTCAACACTTATCGTAAAATCTGCAAGCCACATGTCCATTCAGCCGATTTCTTCAGAATGCCCTGCATGTTGTCATTTATCACGTATAAGCAATCAAGGGATCGAATAGGTGGAAACTTCGAATTTATTGGTCAATTGTTAAAAAGTATTTACTCATACTGTAAAATTGTCTGCTTGAACAGCAACACCTCAATAATAATTAAGGATCACTTTTTCATGTAGGTACATTTATGGAACCATGATACCTGCGAGTTGGTTTATATAAATCGGCGTGATACTTTTTAATTTGAGCAACACGTTAATTCTTTGTTATAAATTTTTGGTTTCAAACTGCGTGAAAGCTAGTAAATGTAACAAGTTTACTTTTGAATCACTTCGCGATTATTACACGTCCTGAATTTAGTAATATATATAGAGAGAAAAAAGACATTAGTCGATTTAAAACACCTTTCACTTTGCAAATATGTTCTCGCAATTTCCCCGTAGGCTTTAGAGAGGTTATTCTGAGCACGGTGCCGTGCTGACGCGTTGCGGTCAATGATCGCGAGGGATTAGATGCTGTAAAAGTCTCGAATGCAAGCGTAGGAGCGGAGACCCAAAGGGCACGAGAGCGGAGCACCCACATAAGAGCCATATATGGGTGCACATTTCCGAGTATTTCACATGACAAATTCAAGAGGCACCTTGCACGAGCAAGAAGACAAGTTTTAATGTCACACATTCTTCTAGTCAAACGCGTTATGGCGACTATTGCACTGTTGGGTAAGGCGTTACAATATCCACTAATTACAGTGTTGATCTGACCTCCCTGACGGCGCAGACTGTGATGTAAAGGCTTGTCCAATATATCTAATTATCTTCTTGTTGCTTTTGAATCGCTCGCTCGCTGACACATTCATCTTGATGGTATCCAAGGTGTTCATAGCTGCAAGGGATGTACGTCTGGCGTAAATTTTTTAATTTTCTCATTGTTCTTCAATATGCTTTCACGTTCATACAGATATTCGCATTACTCATTATTATTCGCTATGCTCTCATGTTCGTAAAGAACTTCGCATTCAACCATTCTAGTGGATGTTTGATGTTTTTGAATCTCGTGTTTTGTATATTTACTTAATTTCCAGAACAACTTAAACCTTTTCCGTCGTGCGTTACTGTCCGGGAACATAACTTTCAACTTAAATTGTACGTAAACTATTGAGTGTAGCAACCTGAGGACGTTTGTACGCAGCAGAGAACATTTTAAATTTGTGGTACGTAGCGGCAACCATCAGTGCAGGTAATTTTGCGCTAACTAGCAACGTATCCTTTTTGGGTAGGCTTGTGTGACAATATTGCTCCAGTTACTCATGTCTTGTAAAAAAAAAAAATGCACTGCAACTTCACGCGACAAAATTTCTTCTCGCTTCGAATCACCGACATGTGGAACAGCCTCCCCGATGATTTCGTTGGCGCTCCAAGTATGAACGCGTTCAAGAACAGACTAGTTAAAGCTATGGAAAAATATATGTTCAGATTTGAAATGCCTAGCACCATATCGAACCCGGTGGAAGTCTAGTAGCTACTTCAAACTATCGTCAATCATGAAAAGACACATTTAAGAGTCAAATGACACAAATAGAGTCAAATTGACTTTGACTCAAATGAGTCAAAGTCAAATGACACATTTTAGATCTTCTGTGAACATGGCACGAAAAGGAAAAGAATCGGCGACAGGCCACATCAGGCCTACACTTCAGCGCCGAGATCGCTATGTTATGTTATGTGGTAGAGGGTTAAATGCTGCCAAGTAGAATTCAAAATCGTGCACCGCATATGCGGTGCGATGCCTACATTAGTGAATATAACACTTAGTTGTTAGACGCTTATTCTTAATTTTTATTTGGTTGAAACTGAGTATTATCCGGGAATGGATGTTGAATTGTGTGGTGTTGAAAGGTTATTTCAGACGTGAAAGCAACTCTCGAGTAAACGTCAGGGCTTTGATTAGCGAGAGAGCTGCTGAGAAGGAGTCATGTTCCGAGCCGCTAATTTCGGGAGCCTAACTAACAAGACCGCCGCACTCGTGGACATTTTTTCACGAGTGCGGCTTCGCTTATGAGCACAAAATGTACGTCACAGTCGGCAGCACCGTTAAAATCATGCACTGCATGACCAAATTTCGCGTGCACTTTTGCGGATGCAGAAACTCGGCACATATGCGAGACTGTAGTTACTCTACTATTACTTCATCTTTACTAAAATAGCAACATTTCAGGAAAAGCAGCCGCGACTTTAAGCGCAGATATGGAACGTAAGATTTTGCTGGTCAAAGGAAACTGCGATGACTGGAAGGCGTGTTCCAGTTCTTGCTCAACGTGTGCAATGCTTAATTGCGTTTTGCTTCACATCGCGGCAGTGATTCAGCGCGAGTTTATATCACCGGGAATGTGTCGTGAGGCCGTTAACTGAACCATTGCTGAGGGCGCCGAGGAAACTCCAGACAGCGTTGGTGCGTCTCGCTGGAAGTAAGGAAATCTGTTACATATCTGGAGCGTATCGTTCAACATGAATATGTTAGGGACATCGTTGGTGCGCATCCCCTGGCAATCAGTCAGGAAAATTTGGGATATTTTTAATACTAATAGAAGGATATAAAAGAAACAAATTCGGGACGTAGTTGGTGCGCATTGGGGGAATCAGAAGAATTTTGAACATTCTTAGTACTTCTCAGAGGATTGCGGACGGACGTGAAAGATAGTATGAATGATATTGGTAAACATCGGAATAAATCAAGTACATTTGAAATATTCTCACCTCTTCTTGTATTGAATGAAGGAAATGTGGGGCGTTATTTGTGCCGATCGGAAAGAGTCAAGCAAATCAAGATCTCCTTGATGTTTTTTCAGTGAAAATTATTGCGTATTAGATCCTTGTTAATACATTACAAGTTGGTTTGTTCCGGGATGTTTCTAATTTGTCTCTATAGATATCAAGAACACCAAAAAGAAATAAATGCAAAATATTTTTCTGGTGTTAATGCAGCATAAAACGATACCGTGGTTGAAATAATATTAATTAATGATTATTAGATTGCATAGTTTAAGATTAGATTAGTTCAACTAATAATATTATTTCAACCAATAAGCACGACAACTAATGTCGTCGTGCGTCTCGAAGATCAAACGAACGTCTGGCGCCCCTGGCGCTTCACTTTCAAAGAGCGCAGGAAAGGCTTTTGCATTAATCATTTGTGCCCGACTTTGTTTTTATCAAAAATCTTGTCTTGACCAGGTGACGGGAGCTTTCTTCTAGAACAGATCCCAGACAACAAAAAATACTTAATTATCTGTTATGCTTGGACATTAAAGAAGCTTATTTCTTACTACTATGCACGTCATGCTTCAGTGACGTTATGGTATAGTTATGATATTAGAATCACACGTTATTTTTTCGCGTTTGGAGCCTACATAATTAGAATTAAATGCACATAAATACTTATATCTTAATGTTGTTGAATAATTTAAGCAATTTTATTCCACTTTATTGCTTAATCGTTAAAAGTAATACTAATTTTCGGTCGTTTTTAATGATTGAAAAAAAAATAATAATTTTAATGCGATCATACCTCGTCGCTTATTTTGAGTGGGCCGCGTCGCATCCGGTACTGCCACACACGACTGACATGAATGTTTATTTTATACTCTGTTTACCATAACGAAAATACGCATCTTTCAGTGTCATTATTCTGGTACTTCTGCACGCCATGCTTATAAAAAGCCTTATATATTTGTACAAATGCTTTCGCTACCGCCTTTAGGGATAACAAATTTACCCTGCGTAAAACATGGGAGTTATTAGAACATTAATTCACGTTACGAGGCCGGTAATGAATTTTATCTTCCACTAAAGTATCTACGAAAAGAAATGAAGTTAGTTAGTTCAATTTTGTTCATCCGCTTAATTTTCATAGTAATTTTTGACCTGGCGTAAACAATCGACATAGCAGCACAGATTATTGTTTGTGTTTAAAGGGTGCAGAGAAATAAAACCTGTTCAAATCACCTGTTGTTCTTGAATACCACTACAACTGACATTATAACGCTGCAGTAACTCTCTAGGACGCATGTAACAGCGCTGCATGCTGCCACTGCGTAACAGAGCCTTACGTATATAGATGTGTACGTCACACGCCGCTATGCTCGCCACTCATGTTGTTACGTCTGTAGATGTGTACGTCACACGTGGCTATGCTCGCCACTCATGTTGTCACGTCTGTAGATGTGTACGTCACACGAGTGTACGTCACACGCCGCTATGCTCGCCACTCATGTTGTCACGTCTGTAGATGTGTACGTCACACGCCGCTATGCTCGCCACTCATGTTGTTCTCTTGCCCCTCGATTGTTCTCAATGAACATTATGGCGATCACATCCACGACCCCAGAGACTGGTCTCCCATGGACGAAAATTCTACAATATTGCTGCCATTCTAAATTCTACTACATTTGCAAACCAAGAGCGTGGAAAATAATTTATAATGCCTTCAAAAATAATGCATACATTCTTGAATAATACATTCAAGAGCGTGGAAAGTAATCATTGCTACAGCAGTAATATGAAGGCTCACATTTTAAATGCATTTATTCATTGCAATTTAATTTGCTGTTGCGATGAGAGAGTGCAACCCGATGTGTAACGGGGTCATGCCAGCCATAACTTATTGCTAAATATATGCTATTTTGCAAATTTATTTTTACAGGGTTTAGATGCTTTAAGTGCTGAAAAGATAATAAATGGTGCTGAGGCTCTTCAAGTCTGAAACTCATGTTGAGAAAGATAGATTTTTATTATTTTAATTTGAATTTAAATTTCTTTGACTAGTTCTTCGCATTCTATATTTCATTGTATAATATTTAAATACGATCAGGCGCATGTACGGACGGACTGTCGGCTATTTGTGAAGGCACTAAGCAGAATCCACGTATAATATAAATGATGTCAGGTTTTCTTAAACTTAGAATAGGCAAATGCAACCCTACGAAGGAAATATCTGAATGGTCAGTGTACTCAGATTAAAGTTAGTTTTACTTGGGAATAAGTTTAATTCGAAGAGAAGGGACTAAATTTAATTCATGGTTTTTGTCTGATCCGCATGGCTCTGGGGCCATATATTACCGAAACGATTTAACCTTGGTGATCATACAAACGAGAGTTTATAGTCTAAGACATTCGAGCTAGAAATGTTCAGCTAGTCGTTGATTCGCTTGAATATATTATAATTTGTTTAGTAATTTTCGAATCCATGTCGAATATCACATTTGTGCCGTGCTTGAGTGGGCGAGTGTGGATGCTGTGTTGTTACGTAGCGCTTTTACTCAGGCGAGCCTTGCATTTTCTTGAGTTGTGCTAATTCTCCGCAGTCTATGGCGCCTCGAGTGATTTAAGTTTTAATTGAGCTGTAATATCCAAGTGTGTTTTAACAGCGGTTGACCTGCATCCTGAGGTATATAAAGGAGCGCGCGCTCAGCCATAGCATCAGTGTTCAGCGATCGGTCGCCACCTGCACACATGGATCTGAAAGTGGTGAGATCCTCATATAAATAACAGGTTGTTATAGCTGTTAAATTAAAATGAGGTGAAAGTCGCTTCTATAAATCTGACCGTAAATCCTAATGCAACTATCCTGTTTGATTAATGTTAGACAATAATTTTCACGTACATTATAATTTCCTACAGTTTTTCATAATCCGTTCACAAGATAGTTCATTTGAACCAGTCTTGCTGGAATGATTGACGTTCAAGAAGATTGTTTATAGGAATTAAGTATGCTTAGTGATTGTCATTTTGGAAACTTTATGAAACTATTTTACAGATAAAACTGATTTCAAATAATTTGCATCAGTGGATTTTTGCCACTACGTTACAATATCATAAGCAGCATCCAATGAACAATGAGCATCTTGAACGATTTCATCACTAATTATTATTTTTTTTATATTTTTGTGAACGTCACACAGTAATATATTATTACGCACCTAGCACCTTACGAACCTTGCAATAAGTCCAGCAGCTATCTCAATCAATCGTCAGTTATGGAAAGATCGGGTTCCAAAGGCGTGATCCCTTGTGAATCAAGTAACGAAAAGTACAGGAACAGTACAGGCCATGGGCCTATTTCTCCAGTCTCGACACTTCTATTCAATTATAATATTGATATGGAAATTTTCGACCAATATTGCTAGGTTATAGTGCATTTTGCAGAGCGCGTTATGTTATTATTCTGTCCATCAGGCTCTCTGCCTCCTCGTGGTGGCCATTGTGGCCACCACCTCTGCTGCTCCTGGTGGCTTTGGCGGCTTTGGTGGCGGCTTTGGAGGAGTTGGCTTTGGACACGGACACGGTGGATACGGACATGACCACGGCCATGGACATGGACATTTTCACAAGCATGGACATGACCACCATCACAAGCATGGACATGATCACCACCACAAGCATGGCCACAAGCACGGCCATGATCATCACCACAAACACAGCCACCACCACAAACACGACCATCACCACACCCACAAACACTCCCACCACCATCACCATGACCACCACCACAAGCATGGCCACGATCACCACCACAAACACGGCCACAGCCACCACCACAAGCACGGCCACGACCACAAGCACGGACACTCACACCACCACGGACATGACCACAAGCACGGGCACGGCCACGGCCACGGGCACGGTTTCGGTTTTGGAGGCTACCACTGAATGGTGAGTTTTAGATATCAGACACCTCAGATACCTGAATAATTATTTGCCATTTTGGAAAACCTTTATCAAAATTATACAAGTCAGCAACGCACATAAATAAAAGAAATCATTTTACTTAATACTTACTGATCACAGAGCTCTAATGAAAAATTATCAATAACCATTACTATTTAATAAATATCACCAAACTGTGCTCAGGACGATCTGAAACATATCAGATATGTGTGTTTTGTTTACACAGACCGTTAAGATGACGAACACGAAGCTGAACTCGAATCGACCTCACGAAGAGTTTCTGCGAAAGCTCAACGACGACGATTTTTTCGGCGCATCTCATGCTCAATTTTTACTTCTAATTTTTATTCTCTGTTGCTAGCGCAACAAACTGATGTTAATACAACTTTAAAATGATTATGCATTGAAATTATTTCCCCTCGCATTGCTAAGTTGTTTATTTATTGTTATGAAAATGCTATGCACTCCAATCGGTTCTGGCATAAACAGTGAATTAATTCTCTAAAAAGTTTGCTCAACTGGTTTACAAAATTCGAATCTGGCAATGAAAAATTGAAATTATGCATAAGTGCTGCGGTGTAAATTATAACTCAAAACGAGTTTGTTCAATATAAGTTATTTTCACGCTTACAGTATCAAGGATACTGGATTTAAAATTGAAATAATAAAATAGTTTCAGTGTCAACATTGAAAATTAAGCCATGTTTTGCCTGTCGACGGTTGGAGACCTTGCGCAATTTTCACAGCCACCTGGCTCTTGAACCCGCAAAATGCTGATCCAATCTTTGGGATCTTAATCAAAAACACCTCGCCGGATATAATCTGGTGGCTGTTTGCAACAAAAGTTGGGCGGTTTTAATAACTGAAATTATAGTAATGCATGCGAAACATGACGTGAAAAAATAATTTGAATTCATTTATGTCCGAATGGGTGACGCCAGCTGAATACGCGTACCGTTCACCAAAACCAAAAGGATAAGCACTTATGAATTTAAATTTTCCATTCAGAAGCCTTTGGCTGATGCACTTTGGAATAGATTTGCCCATTGTTTGAGCCTCCCCAGCATCCGTTAAGATTGATATTTTACAGAGGCGTTTGGCCATTAAATTAAAAAAAATTCAAGAGAACTTTGAAAATAAATGCTTGTTTCATCTAGGAGCCCTCTTGACAGCAAATAACAAATGGTACAAAACCAAAAATACGGCTTCCTGAACCCATGGTTGAACTAGTAGATCAACCATGTCCTGAACCAACTCTATTGGGGGCTTTTATTTCTGGCATAGATTGTAGCATACAGAACTTAACTCACAAACTTATATCAATAACCGCTTAGAAATAATTCAAAATATATGCTAGAAAAACAGGTTGGTTAAACTTGAAAAATAATATTGAGGAAAATATGTGTTTATTTTGTTTTTCGACAACATTTGCTCAGAAGTAAATGTTCGTTGAATCAAAACAAGAAAATGAAAACTAGATATAACGCTATTTAGGTGCTTCAATAAAAGCAACCAGTTGTATCATATAATCGTTTTTTATAGTACAGTTATGATGAATATATGTTATATGTTTCTCTTGAGCGCAGTGTGACTATGAGGAACAAGCACATCCTTTACTTCGATAAAAGCCGTCAGGTGGCGGCACCGTATGTTTTGTTTTGAAAACCTGATAGAGCGTGATATAGGTGTGATATGAATCACATGAACTTTTATTTTATGGTTATTTTCTTGTTAAGAAATATAGCGTATTTTGATGCAGAGTGATGCCAGACCCCCCTATCGTGTAAGTAATAACGATTCGTATTTATTGACATGCTGGGTCTAGTAATTTTCTGATGAACAAAAATTAACTTTTCATCAAAACAAATAGCATCTGCTAGTGTGCAAAATATTTTGTGCTTACAATTTTCAAATATATTTTTGCTTCTGTTGATTCGAATTTCCGTTTCTGTGTAGGAGCTATAAGTCTACTGACTAATGAGCCAAGAATCAATCTGAATTATTATGACAGGAAATTTTTCAATCATGTCTTGTCAGTCTTGACTCGTCAGTGTTCAGACAGTTCAGTCTCTTGAAGATGATGAATGATGAGCTAATGAGCTTGTCAGAAATCTACTCATAAGTTCTTCTGCTGTTGGCTTAACCCTTTAACAACCAGGTGTACCATTATACCATATGGTCACCTTTCAAACATGCTCTGTAATATTATTGTCATGATTAGGAATTGGCGCTAACCGCTAAGTACAGCGCTGATCAGATAAGTACAGCGCCTAGTCTGGAAAAGTCCTATTTTTGTCTGAAATATCGCGGCTCTAATTTAGTCTGGAAAAGTCCTATTTTTGTCTGAAATATCGCGGCTCTAATATCATATAATTTCAGTAGGTATGAAATCTCGCGGCTCGAATGTCATAAATTTTTGTTTGATTAAAAAATCGCGGTTTGCAAACGACTTGAAATCAGCAAATACAAGTATACTTAAAGGATTCCTAATATATTCACAGACGTATTTAAAAGTCTCAAACCATAATATTCTTCCTATAAAAACAGTTATTCACTATTTGGTAGAGCCATGTCAACTGTCTAATTTGACACATTTTTCGATGATCTCACCACGTGGCATGCATTGTCTCTCTTTGGATCTCAATATCTTCCCACTAGATGGCCAAGACCTAGTGTTTTTGCAGTATTTTGACACGCAAATGTATGACGTCACCATTTCAACCATCAATGAACGCATGGAACTAAAACAAAGCTTAATATAAAGGAAAAGCTGGAGAGGTGACGGAATTACCTACGATGTCGGAATATACCGCGTTTACCCTATTTTGTTTGATGAAAAAATTGCGGTTTGCACTCCGCAAACATGTTGTTTCATAAAATTTCCAACTTCTGCAATATGCACTACTTTAATGATCCAGCCAAAATATCCTGTATAACATACCTCAACAAGTCAACCTAAAATGTTTCCTTATAGATCAGGCTGTGCAGCATTATCATGTTCACATGTAATGTTCAGTGGCCACTTTAGTGAATACAAATGTTAGTGTTGACTGTTTTTAGGGTAAAATTAGACTAATAGAGATTAGGGGTAACACGTGCATGGGACTTAGTAGAAAGTTTGCGGCTGCTGGCTTGTAAATGGCTTTTAATAGCTGAGATATGGAATTCACAGCTCAAAGAAATTAAATTACAGCTCCATGAAATGGAACTATGGGTGGCAAATCCATAAAACCAGGGCTCCAAAAATTCAGTCGCGGCTAGCCTTGCTAAGTAGATATATTCCATGCCTGGTCCAATAAAGATTGGGAAAGTTCAACTTGAACTTTCCCAATCTTTTTGGACTATGGTGGGAAAATCAGATAAATTACAGCATTGAATAAATTCTACGTTGTTTCTAGTAAAATATTGAGTGCACATGCAAATTTTGATCATAAAATAAAAGTTACATGCATATATCACATAGCATTTCTAAAGGCAACCATTTAGTACAGTTGGACTTATAACTGCATCGTTTGAAATGCAACTGTTGAGTCTTGTTGGTCCTACAACCATGCAAGTAGGGAATTATGGTACAACATAAAATAATTGTTTTCATTACCGTACTATAACTTGGTGCCCTACAATATTTTTCTCACTACTAGTGAGAAACGCTAATTCAGTTTAACTATTTTATGTCTCCATTAACTGGCCAAGTGATCAAATTATTGAAGTTTACCTGTAATTTTTTTTTTGCCTTCTAGAATACTTCAAGGGTTTAGCATTAAAAATTTTTCTTCTCCAAAAAAAAAAACGTCCCATTCTATGTGAACAGCATCTTGCTGCTTTATTCTATAGTGAATCTAAGGAAAACTCTGGATCAAGAGGACATATTTGATATGACATTGGTTTCACCAATATGCCTGAAACCAGTTCTGAAAGCAAATTTGAAGAAGAAAATGAATCAATCTTGATTGAAATTAACAGAATGGAAGGTGTGAACCTGGCCTCTCAACCTGGATTCTGACCTCTCAACCTGGATTCTGACCTCTCAACCTGGACCTTGGCCTCTCAGTCTGGACCTTAGCCTCTCAGTCTGGACCCTGGCTTCTCAGTCTGGCCCCTGGCCTCTCAACCTAGACTTTGGCCTCTCAACCTGGACCCTGGCCTCACAATCTTGACCCTGGCCTCTCAACCTGGACCCTTATTTATCAACCTGGACTTTGATCTCTCAGCCTCTATGCTAGCTTCTCAAAATGGACCCTGACCTGTCAGCCTGGACCCTAGTCTCTCTACTTGGACCCTGGCCTCTCAACCTGGTTTTTGGTCACTCAGCCTCCACCCTAGCCTCTCAACCTGGTTTTTGGTCACTCAGCCTCCACCCTACTCTTAATCTTGACCCTGGCCTCTCAATCTTGACCCTGGGCTATCAATCTAGACCTTGGCCTCTCAATCTAGACCTTGGCCTCTCAATCTAGACCTTGGCCTCTCAATCTAGACCTTGGCCTCTCAATCTAGACCTTGGCCTCTCAATCTGGACTCTGGCCTCTCAATCCAGACCTTGTCCTATCAACCTGGACTTTAGTCTCATAGCCTCCACCCTAGCCTCTTAAAATGGACCCTGGCCTCTTAACCTGGACTTGGGCCTCTCAGCCTTAACCCTGGCCTGTCAACCTGAACTCCAGTCAATCAATCTTGACCCTGGCCTCTCAAGGTGGACTTTGATCTCTTAGCCTCCGCCCTAGCCTCTCAAAATTGACCCCAGCCTTTCAGCCTGGACTCAGGCCTCTCAGCCTGAACCCTGGCCTCTCAACCTGGACCCTGGCCTCTTCACCTAGACATTGGCCTCATAACCTTGGCCCTGACATCTTTTGCCCAACATCCTTGATGTTTATCCAACATCAAGGATGTTGGAAAGATATGAAATTTCTTTGAAAAATATAATCTTGAATAAGCCATTTTTGCTAAAATACTGATGTTTCTTGCAAATTTCTCAAACTTCTTATTGTTGCTAGCAAAAATAATGTATAAAATTCTAATTAACTATGCCAACCATGTAATATCATCAATATTTTTTGCTCAAAAGGCTAAATGGATCATACGGTCATGTTTAATGTTTGGTCCCATAAGATAAAGTGGACTGAAATGCAGGGTTGGCAATGATTAAATCAAAATGATTAAATCATGTGATTAAATCACTTGATTTTTTTATAAAAAAATCATGATTTTTTTTTATTTTTTCGATTTTTTTGATTTTTTCGATTTTTTCATATATTTAAAAATATTGAGTGGCAGTCTTTAATTTATATTGAGGTATTGTCTGTCTCTTATACACATCTAGATGTGTATAAGAGACAGTAGCATAACATACCATTTAAAATACTTATGTTTTGAAAACAATATCAGGAAGATTGGGTTTGTTAGCTGCATCACACTGTTGGAGTTGTTCTCGGAAGTCTCCTACAGCATGTTCACACATATGGCGAGGTATGGCATAACCTCTGCTGCAATAATCTGTTCCCTTAGCTGTGGTAGGGTGTGAGGGCGACTTCTGAACCCCTTTCTTTTAGATGTCCCCAAAGAAAGAAATCGTAAATGCTCAAATCAGGTGACCTTGCAGGCAACTGTAAATCACCCCTCAGAGACACCAGACGTCCGGGAAACATGCGTTTCAAAACATTGAGTGACATTCGAGCTGTGTGAGCTGTAGCCCCATCCTGCTAGAACCACATGTCTCTCAATGCTTCATTTTCAACAATGTTTTCCATCCTGGGCTGCAAGAAATTTTGCAACATTGCAGCATAGCAATCGGAATTCACTGTCATGGTTACTCACTCCTCTGAGAATGACTCCAACAGTGTGATGCAGCTAACGGCCCCCATCTTCCAGATATTGTTTTCAAAACATAAGTATTCTAAATGGTATGTTATGCTAACCTCTAGGAAAATAAACTTTCTTCTTTAGGTACCTCCATTACTCTTTTATTCCACCTCAAAACTGCTCAATCGGTTCGGCTCCACCCTGTATATTGAGAGGTTGAGATTGTATTGACCTTCAAGGCAATTAGAAAGATTTTTCACCCTAATATGAGTACAGTATTCTAATTAAAATTTTTAATTTCAATCTTTAAATATGTGAATTTAAAACTAAAAACAAAACAATTACAATTATAAGACTATATATAAAATAATTAAATGCAGTGAATGGATATAAAATATTTGAATTGTGCACATGTTTATTTCAAACAGTGTTAGCTTTTCTCATAACTTAAGTCTTGTTTCAAGTCGTATGAGGTTTGTTTGGTTATCATTCAGTTTACGTTTAGTATTGGTTTATTGGTCTGAATTAAATGGGAACAGTGCAGTCAGTCACACAGTCACTACTAGTCGGTATGTATAGAAGGTAGAGTCTGGTAGATTTATAGGACATAAAACTAGTAGATCTATCGATAGTGCTGTGCACTGTGCAATCAGCTACCTATCTGTTATGTGACTCTTCAATGTTTAGGAGATCTGCATTCCTGAAGTGTTTTTTGTATATTGAAGCCAGTTAAATGGTCAATATTTAGCTCATTACCTTGCTCCATACAAACTTTACAAAGCTAATGAATAGCCTTATCAATAATTGTTTAACCGAAAATCCCTAAGTGGTAAACACCACCTTGGCCTGTTGGCCATTATTGGAGGCAATAAGTGCCCTTTTTAGCCATCCATTCTGATCCATATACTGTTATTGTTAGTAGGCTAATTGCAACATAAAAAATAACACCTCAAAAAAGACAAAAAAGCTGAAAAAAATAAAAAAAAATCAAATAAATCAAAAAAATCATGAAAAAATCAAAAAAATCATTGATTTTTGATTTTTTTGATTTTTTTAAAAAAATCAAAAAAATCGCCAACCCTGCTGAAATGTTTGTTGCCTTACAATTTTTTTTCAACATGCAATTTTGAATTTTCCATACTCATCTATTTAGTGTGACCATAAAATTACTTAGTGACCGTAATCACTAGAAATGATAAGAAAAAGTGTTTTTCATGCTTTAAAAAATGCGGTTATTTTTGGGTTAATTAGGGTTCAGTTCATCTAAAATAGTGGTGGTGTTAACTTGATGTTAATGGCAGTATCATATACCGTCGAACAGGGTAATAAGGGACGGGTGGGGTAAATTGGGACGTGCATCCCATATTTCGTAGAATTGTTGAAGCAGCTAAACTAATCAAAATATTGCAACACTAAAAGTAGTGGCATAAATTTCAACATTTTTACTATCTATTATGAATAAAGATAGTTAAGAAATCATACAATTACTACCTTTAAATAATTGCTGAAAAAAGTGCGAATAGTGCGATTTTGGAAAAGTACCTCTACTAAGGTCTGGAGCAAAAAAAAAATATTTGCCATATTAAAAAATTTTTCTTGCATATAGTTGCACACAGGTGTTGACTTGAAAACGCGATTGACAGAATTTGCCTATCTTGTTAAAAAAAAATGGCAGCCATTTTTGCACGACGGGGTAATTAGGGATACCCCTAAAAACACATTTACAGTTTAACCTTAGTTAGCATTAGCAAAGGCTCCAGTTAACAAAAAATTGATTAACAACAAAGAATTTTGATTACATTTACCTTGCTCCACAAAAAAAATTTCACACAACAAAAATTAATGCATCATCGGTCAACACAAAATTGTGCACTGAATGTCATAAATAGAATTGTGCCCTGGGCATCATGGAATGGAAAGTAATTAATCTAAACTATGATTTATTTCTGTAAAACATATGATGATTGTTTCTAAAACATTCCTCTCTGTTTCAGGAATGTTTTTACAATCTTTTTTATAGTAAATTCACTTAACCACATTTAAAATGGTGTGAAATAACAAGCCGTCCTGTAAGATTACAGATACAGAAGAAATTCTATATGGCTTGCAGTGGGCAAGGTCATTATAAATGATTGGCAGTTCATGGATATGGTAATATCACATCAACAGAGTAATGTATGGATATGGTGATATCATATCAATAAAGGATAAACAAGTATAAAACTCAGGAAATGTCATTTATTTTACATCTACCTACATCATCTACAATGAAAGAGGAGGACTTCAGAGCACTGTTAGTAATGGATGAGTACACTCTGCATGCTTCAAACATTCTAAAATTGAGTTTTATTTCAGGTGTCCTGGATTACCCTGTTCCCAGGGGTAATTCAGGACAGTTTTATTTTGCATCTGGCATCTTACGAATAGGTTATGAATTTTTTTAAGATGTCATTTGATAGCCCTTGCAAAGAGCTATGAATAAAATGAGCCTAAACTTGTTTATGAAATGTTTCATGGTAAGAAGTTATTAACAAAAAATGCTCAAAACCATCTCTTATTACCCCGTATGATGGTATACATATTGTAGGTATTGGTGTAGTTTGGCAGATGTTGTTCATTAATGCAGGTTTCATTGAAGATCAGAGACTGCAGAAAGTATTTCTTATTGACAATTTTCTTGTTGTTTTTCTCAATTCGGTAAATTAGGCTTTTGATAAGAATTAACAACTCAAATACCAGTATCAGGTTTCCAAGGGACATTTTATTATAGGTAATTTACTACGTTTTGAATGCAACTTCATTCACTATCAAGTAGGGAATGAGTTTTGCAACACTTGAATTTTAAATTTTGAAATAACATTAGTAGGTAGTAGTTTGTACAAACATAGGGTATGGATACAGATTGACCCTGGCCTTTAGCGTGAATTACGAGAACAGTTTCAATGTTCTGACAAAACTACCAGATTTGTCAAGATGTTGAAACTGTTCTCATTCTTGATTGTTCTTGTCTGCAATTTTATAAATTTTCTGCCTGATATTCCAAATTGGCAAGTGACTAATTTTTCAACAATTTTGAATCATGCAACCCAATTGTGAAATTTTATTGACAATTATATATGACAAGTAGGAGGTAATTGAGGATTGTAATTTGCCTACTAACAAAAAAAATCTCTCATTACTTCATTTGCTAGCCAATGCTCTAACTGAAACTAGCACACAACATACTGCTAGTAGCAGAAGTGATCTACATTCCTGTTTAGCTTGCCCTCATGTTTCTCTGCTTTTTTAGAACCTAATAACCCTCTAATTTCATGATTCACCCTTTTAATGAGCCGCAACTATAATATTAGCTAGGTATACTAATAATTATGTCACAGACCGCTTTGAAGTACAAGTAACCTTTAGCTCGGTAATATCTTTCGTGGTCGAATTGTTTTATTCTGAATTTCAGTTGATACAAATCATTACAGTCTCCTTGTTTTGCAGAAGTGACGAGGGAGGTAACGGCAGCAGCAGCAGCAGCAGTGCAGGAGGTGGAGGAGTTGGTGTTGGTGGAGGTGGTGTTGTGGTAGTTGGTTTGTGTGGAGGTGGTGTTGGAGGAGTGGAGGCGGGTGGAGGAGGAGCCAGTATGGGCAGTTCAGTAATTGAAGATTCAGGAGGGGGCATTGGAGGCCTGACACAATCACCTCGACATCATCACAGTCATCATCACTCCCATCATCATCACAGCCGAGATGGACATCATCAAGGAAAAAGTGCTGTCAAATATGGAGAACTTATTATTCTAGGGTGAGCTAAAACCTAACTACTGCACTACTGTTTGCTTTTCGCAGAATCTAAATTTTAAATGCAATCATTGAGGTTATTTTTAGGATCAATCTAGTTTTTTCTTTAATTCTAAATAGAAAATTCTGAATTGAAACTTCTAAATTCTTATTACCTTGTTTCATGAGAAATTTTCAACACCACTGCAAATTTTTGGTAATGAAATTTATATATTTTTTCTATGCTATGAATTGTGGCGCAGCCAGCATATACATAGTTCATCACTTATCACTATTTTTAAATAATATTTATTTGAGTAAACCAAGTTTGTTGCATATATATAATGAACACTGAGGACTATTGGAACAGTTCCCACTGATCAAATTAAGTTAAATTCATGTCACAAGACTAGAGTGTTGAAGTTCAGTTATGTTCTTGTAATGATTTTAAAGAGAGACCACTAAATGGCTTTCAGTGGCAATCTTTCTTGCCCCACTGACTCATATCAATAGGTTAGAGGTGGATGTACTCTTGGAAAGGATAAATTACTGAGATGAGAGTTTGTCTCAATGACCCAGTGAACTCAAATTGAAGCAACATCAAAGCTAGAGAAATGAAGTTTGATGGTAAAAATTTAAAGGTTGCTACAAGCCTTGGCACGTGTGATGTTTGTTAATGCTACAATCTTATTCTGCTTCAGAAATTATATTGGACTAAAATTATTAGTGATAGACTCTGTGTTGTCCTACAATTCACTGATATATTAAAATGCATCGAATACTTAAGTCTTGATTGATGTACTCCATCCTGTGAATATTACTTGCAGATACAATGGTCATTTACCTCCATCTGATCGAGGAAGACGACGCAGCAAATTTATGTTATTCAGGCGACAGAATTTTAATGGTGTTAAAGAAGATAGAAGGTATACTGTAAGGCAGCCTCAAAACACGCAGGTGAAGAATTTAAATGATGATCCTAAAATATTACTGATAATCCTGTATTAGTGAGTATTAACAAATAGCAACTTGTATAGCGTGTGCATTGTATGAGAAATTTTGAATTTCTTTTCACTGACATTTCCACCATAAATCCATGTTATAGTTATCTGCTTATGGTGTTACTTTGTACTGTTTCTCTTGTTTAATTAAATTATATTTCTTTCAGGCGATCCTGAATAATCAACAGCACAGCATATCCTACACAATGTCTCGGAATCAGGCCGTAATCGTGGAGTACAAGCCTGATCCTGAGACAGACATGTTTCAAATTGGAAGATCTTCAGAACCTCCTATTGACTTTGTCGTCATGGACACAGTGCCTGGCGAGAAACATGGAGAGGCAAAGGCACATACAAACGCTTAATTTTCGTTATCAATTATTTTTTTTTATTTTAAGATGATCGTACATACTTAATTACATTCGGCATTTTTATGTTGAAATTGTAGCAACAATAATAGGTCTATAGATATATGTATAGGTTTCGGTGAAATGGGAACTCTTTACCAGAGATGGATCACTGAATATCTGGCCTGCCAGGTAGAATTTATGTTTCACTCGCGTAGTTTTAATCCTTCCACGAGTACCGTGTAAGCTTGTATCACTAATAACTAAATTCTATGTGGTATACGTAATGAGTGGACTTCAACATATTTCATCTTATTGAACTAGTTTGTTTCTTTTTTAGCTCTTAAGTCATATGAATATTGGCATTGTGGCTTGATCAATAAAAGCTTTACACGCCTGTATTACCCACAGGTTTCACAGAGCACCATTAGCAGGTTTGCTTGCCGAATCATTGCCCACAGAACCACAAGAGAAGCAAGGATATATGCTGCAGGCTTTGATTCTTCACGCAATATATTTTTAGGAGTAAGTTACAGTCAACAGATCAAGTCACTACTAACACTTGTGCATCTTAACCAGCTTTTTTGTGAAAATTGAGTCCTCTTGAATATGTCGATAGATACGAGCATATTTATTCTTCCTATATGTTGTGGCTGAGGAGTCACAAATTTTGTCTGAAGTTCATTTATTAGTATTATTTAAAATTTTCAGATGATTGTTTAATTGATTTTGCATTTGATTTTTGGTGGAATAGGTAATATTTCAGATATTTTTGTGGAATAAAAGTAAATGAAAAACATATTCCATCATGTGTGTAGTGTAGGAACCTGTACATTCTCTAATTGCTATTTTGAGCATAGAGCGTAACTTATTTAAAAATAGGTTCGCATTTCTGGAGCTTTCACCACATCCACATTTCTGCATGACAGGAAAAAGCAACTAAGTGGCAGAACTGTGATGAGATGGACGGACTCACCACGAACGGCATCCTCATCATGCATCCTATTGCTAACCCCATGGACGAGCGCGGCGAAGGGGAGGTGGGGCTGTGGAGAGAAGTGTCGGTGGGGGGCGGCGTCTATGTGCTCAGGGAGAGCAGGTCCTCGGCACAGAGAGGAATGAAGGTACCTGCCGATTAGCAAGTAGCAAGAAATTAATATCCATAGTAACATTGACGATCCCGCCTAATGAGCGATCAAGCATTCAACTTTCTCAGACACCGCTCTATTAGAACAGTTTTTTCTGGTATGAACACCCCATTCCTACCCGAACCGTTGATTTTCCTAATTATATGGTGCAAGAGTTTGTATTTTGTATTTTTCAGGTCGAGGACGAAGACAACAGATTGCAAGATGGGACCCTCATCGACCTCTGTGGAGCAACGCTGCTGTGGCGCTCCGCTGAAGGGCTTGTCAAGTCTCCCGTGAGAATTGTTGAATGCTAAATGACTATTTTTAAGAAATGTCTATTGCAAGTCGAAGTACTCAAGATGTAGTTCTTACCCAATTTTTTTCCTCTGACAATTTTGTTTAAGTCCCCATTGGTCTCGTGATGAAGGCTAAAAAGTTGTTGGGATGGCTCAATGTACTAGCCTGGGCAGTCTTTTTAGTCATTTGTTAGTTTTTTTCATGTTGTTCATAATAAAATATTTCATGTGTTAAGAAATGAAAATTTGCTGGGACTTGTATACCAATTTCAGACTGACCAATCATTCAAACACAAATTACCTGCAATATTTTTCTTCTTATCATTCCAGGAAGAAAATCTCTCAGGGGTGTTTTCAAATTAATTGATCATCCTTATCATTTGTAATTGATCCTTCTCTCACATGTGAATTTATATATTTTTTCAATTGTAGACAAAGCGACACTTGGAACAAATGTTGGACGAGCTGAACGCAGGGCGACCGCAGTGCCCCGTTGGCCTGAACACTCTCGTCATCCCACGGAAGGAGACGTTGACGGCGTCCGAGAAACAGCCTCTTGCTTACCTCAACTGCGGACACGTGCAAGGCCTCCATCAGTGGGGCCACGAGAAGGACAGCAACGTGCGCACCTGTCCCATGTGTCTCATGGTCTGTACATTGCTTTAATAAACTCATTAGTGTTACCATGAATAGCGTTTATTACCTATATTTGAGACAATGTTACCTCGCCTAGTTACATACAAATGAAGAAGCTCTGTTGTGTGGAATGTTACATCATAAAATGTTCTGTTGCAAAATTTTGTAATTTTACTTCCTTTGGCAGGTCGGGCCAGTCGTTAAGTTGTGCATGGGCATCGAGCCCGCATTTTATGTAGACATAGGACCTCCTACGTTTTGCTTCAATCCATGCGGCCACATGGCCACTGAGAAAACTGTGAAGTAAGTACCTTGAGTACCGTAGTAAGTGGCGTAACATTCGTCGAGTTATTTAAATATATAAAATATGCTCTCAAATAGTCTTGTTTAGTAGTGATTGATTGTAGAGGTAAATTGATGACCACTTTCATAACGCCTTACATGTGCATTCTTTATGTTCAAAGAAATTTTTTCGACTAAACTGATACTAACTCAGTGCTATTTACAGAAACATCGTAAAAGAAACCATTACATGGCATTTGAACTCCTTTGCAAGTGTTTCACTCTGCCCTTGACCATTTTTACAAAACTCATATTTTGTTGCCCAGAACATGAAATCCTTTATATTCCACAGATGTTTTTCGATTTAAGAAATTTGTGCACATTTTCAATGCTTTTCCTTTATGTTTTTAATTTGCGTATGTTCACGAGTTCCTCTGTTTTGACTGTTTTCGGGCTCTTATCTGTTATTAACCTGGCACAGATATTGGGCATCAGTGCCCATACCTCACGGCACGAACGGCTTCCAGGCAGCGTGTCCTTTCTGCGCGACAGCTCTGGAAGGTCATCCTGGATACTCTAGGCTAATTTTTCAAGACAATTGCGACTAGCGTAGGTGAAGCTCTAGTTATAATGTAGCGCCCAACTCGCGTTTCGGCGACAGCAATCTCGCTGCTGTGGCCCTAGCTTCAACTTTACCTGCGGGGGGTTTAACAAGTATTTTGACTTAGTGGCTCAAAAATATTCTTCTTTTTTTTTTTTGTATCTCTGTTTTGGCGTTTGTAACAACGTCTGTCTCGGGACTGTGCCGCAGTTCTGGGTTTGGATGAAACTTTTCTTTGCCAACCACTTTTCTCTATATCTCTTCATTAATTTCACGTCATCGCCAGCAGAAAAAAATTAATATTTGTCTTGACGTTAGACGAATTGCACGGTGTTGAGTCAACACGTTAGAATTGTGTTGCAGAAGACTTCCTATTGGGTAGTTTCGTCACTAAACAAAACTTGCCCTGACAATCTTCACAATGACCGTACTGAGTGTCGAGGTCAAGTTATAACTGGCGTGCCAGGGCTCCTAGTTCGTGGGCATGCATTAGAATGCCAAAGATGTTCAGTTGATTTATTCTAAACCCTTCAAGTATCCATGAAATTTACAGCAGCTTTGACATTGACCACCAATGCCACTTTAACGAGACACGGCCTCAATCGTGGCCTGGTTGTTGCCCGTCCATGTGCCCCTTTCCCTCTGTAGTCTCTGTTGGTAGCTCCCTTCTCCCCCTCGATACTAGACCCCTGAGGGCCATGTATTTAGTCCATACAAGCACACCATCGTATGGCTTGTGCGTTTGTGCTCCTTTGGTGTCCGAAGTTTTTTTTAGAACAGGATTATCATTAGAATGTTTTGCATAACATTTTCAGCGCTTTTGTTTGAGTGAACAAAATTATGATGCTTAGATAATGGTGAGATGTAACTCTTATGGCTTGTATGTTTAGATTTCATTGTTCAGGTCTACTTTATAGCCCGTGCTAGGTTTGCATCATGTCGCCATCACAAGGCGCTTGGGAGAAATATCAACCCGAACTGAAATGGTCGCTACATCATCTCGTATTCCTAGCCATACCAAATATGTTACTAATTATCTCCATATCAAATACATGTGTTATGTTATTTCTTACTCTTACCACTGAAGTCCAGCGGAGATTTACCTGGCGTTTGCTTTTAACCTTCCCTTGCCTACAGTAGATCATCGTTTGTTTGGTGTTAAGCTTTATGTCGTCTCCCAGGTGGATGAGGTTTGCCCGACTTTTTGTTATTTCGTTGAATTATCCATGTTTGGTTCAGTTGAGTTGCTGATTTTAGACTTTATTTTTCTAATTAAATGACAATCGCCATTCTTATGACGAAACAAGAATCAGACTTGTTAAAATGTATTTGTCACAATGTAATGAATCGTCTACATGCTTTAAGTTTTAAATACCTTAGAAACAGGATGATAATTAACTATCTTTATTTCAGCTATAAGTGTGGAGCACTGTTATTTCAAAGTCATGAATTAACAGTTGAAAGTTTTTAATTCTCTCTGTTAATTCTCATTATGCCTCATCGTATGCATCAGCGTCTCGCATCCTCGTCAATGTTGTGTTCAGAATAATTTTGTTACTGTATTGACGCCCTCCTTGATCGCTTCTGTTGGTGTGTATCGCATCAAATGTTGTGCTGTTCTGATTCACTCTCTGACGAACACCTGTTATTATAAATGATCGTCTCTAACTTCTACCACAACTGATTAAAAGCAACCTACCGGCTCTTGTTCCCTTACATGACGTTCCTCGATTATACAGTATATTAATCTGTCAATGTTACAAGTTACGACTAATTTGTTGTTATACACCTGAGTTGGGAGTCTCTACTTACGTCACGTGCGCTACCTTCTGATATTAACTTGTCATTATCAAACTCATCTCAAACGAATAGTGCAAAATGTTGTGCTGTAACAATTATCGCTTCCACATCCACATTCTGAACGTGTCTTTCATTTCCGTACGTGCAGTGTTTTCTCCGAGTCTGGTTCAGCTGTGAGACTTACTGCTGCTCTTGTGACGCCTAACTTGTGGTGGTCATGGTGTTGTTCACGATTATACTCACTTATTTCACTCGTGTAATTGGATGCCTCAATCTTTGTATCGTAATTGAATTGGTTCGAAAATGTATTCAAAGAGTTAGCACCATAGTAAGTGAATTATGAGTTGGCTTTTTTAATTATATAATATCTTCTTCATATTTTGATATTGAAAACAATTCAAAACATGCATTGTTTCTGTTGGGGCAGTGACGATGTGCAAAGGCCATGAAAGTTACCATATCTCGAATTTTTAGCGACTGGAGAAGTCTTCTCGCCGTGCAATTTTTCAAGTTTTATGAATTTGCAATTTTGGCACTGCGTTTTAAATGTAATATTACCTGAAATGTTTGTAAATATGGGTTTTTAGTAATCAAAATTACTAAAAACATGATAAAGTGATAGCCTTTAAGTTTTTGAGCAATTTTTTCTGATTTTTCCTCAGAACACCTATCCAGACTTTCCGTTATTATTTTAACCCAACTATCAGTTTCAAAATGGACCTGAAGTGAGCTTGTTTACCTGAACATATCTGAATTCATTCACGGAAGGTACGAATAAGTGCTTTATAACATGCTCTCGGAGTCGTAAAGTTGAGTATGCGTAGTGCATCTTCTGGAATTGTTTCACACAAATCGGTCCTAAGAAAACTGGCATCAAGCCCTCTACCTGCCCTGAGTAACCCAGGGGCCGTATTATCAAAACTTCGTAAGTACGCAAAATCGACTTACGAGTGGCGTTGCTATGACAACGTAATACTAACGGTGGTATTATAAAAAGATTTGCGCGGGAAAAAAATTTAGGCTTTTAGCTAAGACTTGCGTACGAAAGTTTTGATAATGCCAAAATTAGGGTTTATTTACGTACCACAGAACTTTTTTGTCGTAAGTATAAAAAGTTACGAAGTTTCGATAATCCGGCCCCAGGTCTCGCCTCACAACCGTAATTCTTCCGACGGTCTCGTGTAGCTCACTCCCTTGTTGGGAGTTTATGCGTTCCGTTTTAATGCTCGATTTCAGCGGAGTCTTCGTTGTTATTCTTATGAACTCTCGAAAGTCTGGATGAATGGATCAGGAAGGCACATTCTAAGGTCTAATTATTATGGGCTCTTACTGAAACCTTTTATCGTCTTTAGATAACATAACCGATCTATGTTAATATACTCTTATCTAAGTGTCGAGCTTTAAATCTGTTTACCAGAAAGGATTCAATTGGAATTTTAAAGTGTGTCCAAAGTTGGGTAAAATAATTTGTAGCTGATTATGACTTAATTAATGTTTTGGTTCCGATTCAATTTGATTGTTTCATTGAATTATTATCTTTGTCTTGGAATCGTTAATTTACTGCTATCTCTAGTCTATAAATACAGTTTTCAATGTTCTTAACAACTTCTAGGCATCTTAGAACTATTGACGCGATTATACCTGCAGCTTTCATATATTTGTCCAGCTTTGCCTTCAGTGGGCATTCTTTTCGATGCCTGGTTCAGTTGCGCGGTCCTCAATACTAATGACTCTATGCTTTTCGTGTGCCTATTGCCACCGTTTGATTTATATAGCGATGTTAACATTTCCTCGCTTGAGAAACTCCTACAAGCGTTATTCGTGAACTAGTTTTGTCTTATATTATAGCCAAGTTTCAAATCGGCTCGGCATGTGGGCATTTCCGAGGTATGTTCATCGCATGTTTGAACTAGTATAAGGTTGACTCATGAGAAGCTCATTTTTGCTGATGTAGTTTGTTGTTCACCTGTGATGTCACTGATCTCAGTGACGTCACGGACATTAACCAATCACCGAAATGCGATCAAAGCAGTCAACCAAGCCGTCATAGGAATGACGGGTTTGTTTACGTTTCTCGATCTCAGTGACATAACAAGAAAGCTGAACTGAAAGACGGAACTTCCTGTGGGTCAACCTTGTATAGTTCAACCATGTTTTGATCGCAAGACCCTATTAACCCGAGTGTAATGGTTATCAAAGAAATGCTTTGTCACTGTCATAATGACTAAACTTCACGCGACATGTCTCGGGTGCTGTCAAACATCTTGCTTCAATAGAATTTTTTTATATATATTTTTTCATTCTACTGCTTGTATGATTTTTATCCTGCATAACTTTTCATGTTTAATTTATTACTCTTGTGAAACGGGCGTATTCAAAAAGAAAAGAAAAACAACACATCAGTGTTGTCGTGTTCAACAATGAGTTCGATAGCTGGGGCGATTTCAGTGACGGCTGAAAAGTCACAATTGCAGTCGCCATGTTTGTCTTTTGTAGGCTTTGGTTTTACATATGCTTTTCTCGATAAAATGTCAGGCTCTCTGGGCATATTGTAGCCTTTTTTATTAAGCTCCTCAAGTAAGATTTTAACGATAATTTGTTCTAGTTTGATCATTGAACCATGTACTATGAATGGTAGAATGTGTCATTACTTGACGGTGTTACACTTAGGTTTATGCCCCCGAGATACAACGGAAAAAATTCAGAGCCTTGCGTACGTCCGAATAGTTGATAATTGTAAGTAACTGCGACTGACTTTACTCGGTTGGCTACCGTAGCGCAATTTTACTGGAATTTTCAATGTGTTGATTGCGCTCTGGGGTTTGCATAAGATTGTTTTTTTTATGCGAAAGATATTTGTTTGTGCTTCGTCTCTCGCAGCTACTTGTTGGTTACCCTTTGTTGGTGAGCGCCGTTAACATAATTAGGAGCAAGGGTAACGTCAATGTGCGTTTAGAAATCCCATAGAAACGATAGATAGGCCGTTGAAATAATACTAAGTGTTTTCACGAGTGTCCTTAATAATGGCGTCGGTGAAGCACGATTGGTCTTCTTATTCGACACTCCACTGACACGACCAGTTCAGTATTTCTTCTTCAATTCTGGTTTCCTTCAACAGCGCCGCAATTCTCGTTAAATTGTCAGTTTTTATGAATGAAGATATTTTTGCCTCACGCTTAACGTCATTTCATTATTATTCATTAAATAGCAGGCATTAATGCTGCTACCGCCAAGCTATTTCACAGGATTTTCATCACAATATTCCGAGCAAATTGTATCTTATCCTTGTATTAGCCCGCTAGTTGCCACCTATTGGCATACTCCGCGTTTATTCTGTTGAATGACTAATAGTTCTTCACGCTTCATGCCTCCTTATAACTTGTGCAGTTGTTCTTATGCAACTTCCGTTCATATTTTATCCTTACGGGCTCACCTCACACCAGACGATGTATTCCTGAACTTATTTTTAATGTGCAAACGACTGAGCAACGCCGGTGCTTCGCTCGCTGCAATTACGTGTGGGGCTTAACTGGTACGATGGTGTGTCCCGATGTGCATCACATTTCTGTATGTATCTTAGGAATCAAATAAAGATTTTAATACTACATGAGCTCTCTTTACTTCGTCCCTGAATATTCCTACAATTTCTCACGTATTCGATTATTATCGCGTCTTACTGATGTTTTCAGCTAATATATTTTATTGAAAAATCCAAGATTTGTCTGAAGTCAAATAAACCAAATTCCTTTTTTATAGAGTTCCTTCATGGACTTACTTATCGTATTATTGTGAGTATTCTAATGTGGACCATCATCTCTCACCTCGTGTCTACGTCTCGTTTCTATCGGTGCCATGAATAACCAGTCAAAAATTGAGAGTATGTATGAAGGTTCTTACACGGGGCGCCAGTTGCTCGACTGGCGCAAGGGAGGCTTGCTGCTCCTTTACTTCCCGTAGTCAGCAACTCTTATTCTGGTCTCATTAATATTCTTTCTTTTCTCTCATTTTTTAGGTCATACGGAACTCATGACCAATGGAGATGCGCGTTTCTTGAGGCAATGGCTGTCGCCCGTGGATTAGGTAGCCCATGGCGATGCGCCATGTCATATTAACTGCCCACGATCGCAGTGATATTACCTGCCATCGCCACTGACAAGAATAAATCTTAAATTGAACTAATATCAATTGCCTCGGTTCTGTCATCTATATAAGCTAGGAAGTCGATACCCCTCATGGAGGGACTTCTGACGCGTGTCTGTGCTCGTCAGAAGTTCTTTGGGATTTCGCGCTCCTAGGGGATTGTTCCTGAGCGCCCCACCGCTGAGCTCGCGGTGTCTGACTGCAGATCTCAGTTGTGGGGTTAAGTTATTATGTAGGTAGGATTCCTTACATTTCCCTTCTCTGTCTCTCTCTCGTGCGGGCAGCCGACGTCCCGTGTAAGCGACCTCTTGTTCGTGTGTCTTCGTTTCTGTTGCTTTTCACCTGTCCCTCCTTGTCACTTCGTCTATTTGAGATGCTAACGCTGCTTCTTTCGAGCCAGCTTCAGCGGCTGGACAATTGAGACCTTCCGCCCCTTGCGGGTGATGAACAATTTTTGACTTCACTTGAGAATCTTTCGATAACTGAGACTTTCCACCTCTTTGGTGATGTTCATTTTGACTGTCGGTGCGAGATAGCTAAATGGCTGAAGCGCTAGTTAACATTTGGCCACTAAACTAACTAACTAGGAAGTCGATATTTTAAAAATAGTTGTTTGATCCTAAGTGACAGATAAAAAGTATATTGATAACCGCTTCTTGTTTTTAGGCGGAAAGATTCAATTCTTCCTTAGGCTGTCGCATTTAACGTACTGCGGGAACATACGTAGGAATATTACTTCCGACTAATGAGGGTCTTGCATTTGACACACGGTTTAACTTAGTCAACGATTCTCATGACCTTCTCGGCATGGTGCGTTCTCCTTCGGTATCAGCCGTTGAGAATTTGTAAGACTCCTCGAAATTTGAACTTCTTCAAACCCGCGTATTCAACCTCTCTGCCGGATAGCATGGAGAAGCCTAAAGTGTTAATCACCAGAAACGATGTCCCACAGATCGCCATACGGAAACTACGTGAGCTGTGAGTTTGCAACAGCGATTACGATTCAAAATATAGTTTGAATGATGTGTATGTGGCATTAATTTAAAATTGTGCTGTACTAGCGGATAATCGTTACTTAGAGTTCTAACTTGAAATATTTTATATTCTTGCCCAAATAGTTTGTTTATTTTCTAAATCAGCTTCCATTCCTAGGCTCCATGCTTGCTTGGGTTACGAGTTTGAATTGACTGCTGGTAATTTACGTTCGTATGAGTGGTCAGTTTATAAAAAGTAATACAAGGCCAATTTTCTATTATTGACAGCAAAGTTTTGTTATGAAGTATACGCATAGCCCATATACTCACCGCGTAATTTCTATTTAATTATGTTCAGGTGTGATGTAGACATTTACGAAGGCTCCTACCCGATGCCTCGCGACCAACTCCTGGCCAGAGTCGCCGGGAAAGACGGACTGTTCTGTTTCCTCACAGACCGCATCAACGCCGAAGTTTTGGATGCGGCCGGTATGAGATCATTACGTGATATAAATTATTGAAGTAATGTAACACTAAATAGGGGGTAAGCCTATACTCTTTCATTTTCTGCTTAATTCTCCTAAAAGTGAAGTTGGGTAGAAGAATTATTCTTGATTCATAATGTTTGACGAAGTCATCAAGCTGTCAGCAATGAAAGATTTTTCTACTCGAAAGATTTTTTTACTTATTTCAAGCATTCGTTACTGATGTTCTGGACCTATACTTTCAAAAAAAAGTTAAGAGATCTTAAGTTCATCAGCCAATCATTGACGGCCTTTCAAGTTTCAAGCCATATCCACCAATCATAGACAAGAAAATTGAGCTTAAGTACTTACGCTCACTTAGCGAATTTTGAAAATATGGCCCCAGATGCTCGCGGTAAATTAATACTTTCCTTGTATTCGAGGACAGGACGAAGCTTGCGTGTGGTCAGTACGATGTCTGTGGGCTACGATCATCTCAGCCTCGAGGAAATGAAAAGCCGCGACATCAAAGTAAGCCGGCAGTATCACGCAGCACTTACGGCTTGACCACTGCACGTCTCATAGCTACATTTGAAAACTTTATAGAACTCAAAGCTTAATTTCGTCCCTTCGTTTTAGATTGGTTAACAAAATATGCGTTTCGACAAATGGTTCTTTCACTGTGATCTTGTGCTTTTTTTCAAATCAAACGTTCACAAAGTTTTCGTTGAAAATCGTATGCGTTTCTCCCATTATCCACTAAGTGAGAATTACCCAAGTCTAACTTTCAAGCTTATCCCCAATGGTCAGAAAAAATGTCCCTTTAGTTCCGCGCTCCATCCACGACGCCTGCCAGCTACCAATTATGTCCAAGAGAATAGGAATATGAGAGAACAAAAGATACCACTGAGATAACCGGTTGTGTTGGTGGTCAGGTGGGCTACACGCCGGACGTGCTCACGGATGCAACGGCCGAGCTGACGCTAGCGCTGCTGCTGGCCACCTCGAGGCGTCTGCTACAGGCCAACGCTGAGCTTAATAAGTCAGTGACCGACACGTGCTGCCTATAGAACAGGACCATCCCGTGGTCAATTTTTTCGTTCGAGCGGGCGTTTGTGTTTTACTTTTTTGTTAATTTGAAACTTGAATTAAAATTCTTCTCTGCCCTAACCAACAAACGCCGTCAAACCGACAGGTTGAAGTATACATAGTTGTTTTATTTGTGCTTCTGACTCGCGGATACATACACATTTCTTGGATAATTCGTTAATCAATATTTTCGAAATTTTGACGGTTTTTGTTAGGTGATGATTTTGCGTCTTTTCCTTACTGAATTCATTTCAAGGAAAAATCATGAAGTGTTGAACTCAGTGGCTTTTGACCCGCAGTGGCGGCTGGGGAAGGTGCGTGTGGGGCCCCGTGTGGATGCTGGGTAAAGGATTGTCGGGGTCTACGGTGGGAATCTTTGGTTTGGGGCGGACTGGACAGGCAGTACTCAAGAGGCTCGCGGGCTTTAACGTCGCCAAGTTCCTCTATACGAGCACGACTAAGAAAGAGCTACGCGCCAAGTTCAACAAGGACGCCTTTGCTGCCATGAAGAACTCGGCGGTCTTCATCAACACCTCTAGAGGAGGTCAGACAGAACCCGAATAGAATAAATGTTTAATTTTGGTCAATTGTTGATATGGCGCTACTCGTAGTTTCCAAAACTATTTTTCTATCAAGAGCGAAACTTAAATTCTTCTCGAGAGTTTACAGATGGGCGTTTAGTTCGAAAACATCTGAACTTGTAAGCTACGAAGCTTCTGTGATTAACAAATCATTTCCAGGTTTTCACACGAGAATTAATCCTTGTCATGCACAGGACTGGTAGACCAAGAAGCGCTAGTGTGGGCCCTTCAGACCGGCCAGATCTGGGCTGCGGGTCTGGACGTGATGACGCCAGAGCCGCTCCCCACTGACCACATCCTCACCACCCTGCCTAACTGCAGTGAGTTGATCAGCCATGTACAGCATGCATTTACGCGACACGTAACACACACACTCACGCACAAAGGCAACATAAACCACACATATGTGACAGAAATAACGCCATACACGTCATAATAATATAATATGTCATACACGCCACACTTACGCTATACTCGTATTCACCACAAATACGCTACACCAACCGCATATGCGTAACAAGCACGAAGTGTGCGCGTTAAACCTCCAGCATTCATGTCTAGAATGCATTGTACTTCGGTGCTCAGATGACATGCTAAGTGATTGACCATAAATCACGCTTTTCACAACTTTTAATCACGTTTTGATTAATTTTCTCACTCACTATGTTAACTTGTGTCTACTTGCGAAGCTTTTTTGCGATACAATGACAAATCAATGATTTAAATAAATTTAAGAAGTTTTTCAGTGGTTTAGATGCTTCTCTTGCTCCAGCGCTGCTACCTCACATTGGCAGCTCTGAGGAAGGAACCCGCGTCGCCATGGCTGAACTTGCCGCGGACAATCTTCTTGGAGGCCTCTTGGAGGACAAGGAAATGCCACAGAGACTTTGCTAAACCATCCATCCTAGCTTACTCATCGATGTGTTACCGACTTTTTAACGCGTATTTTGGATTGTATCGAACCAACTATACTGTGTTTCTTGGCAATTCTAGATCTGAAACTGCTATTATTTATTGATCCTGTGCGGCCATTGGCGATGCAATAAACCTTTCTTCTCTGTCAGTTGCAGCCCTAGATTGCATGTGGGAAGTAAATAGAGCCATTTGTGTGCATCATACGAATTAGATATAAGTAGTTTGCTCAGCCACATGATTAAAAATTCTTTATTGGACCTATATTTACCTTTGAACGGAACATAGAATTTATAGCCCTATTGTTTTATCGTTACCTTAATGAAATTCGTAACTAGCTTTTAAGTATTTTTTCTTCCATCGATGTCTTTTAGTCCGGTACGACTATCGATCTGTAATATTTTCCGCGTAAATACACTTGTGGTGACCTGCTATCTCGACTCATTGACAAAAGCTGATAAGGATCTTGCTTGCATATAGTGGCCTTTGAAAATGTAGTAGCACTAGTCCTGTTGCCAACGCTATAGACCTTAAAAAGACATTGTAACGAACCAACTGGATTGAAATTTCGTATTGAGGTAATATTTGACATGAAGCATTATTTTTTATAATGAAGGCACTTGTGGAGTCTGCTGGCTTGAAATTTGTGTATAAATATTCCCATCATGATGATATAAGCTGCTGTTCATGCAACTCACGTTTACTGTATATTACTTAACTGATGTCGCTTCGGTGGTTTAGTTATTGTCGTTATTTCTCTTTTATGATTAAAATATTTTCCACCTGGAGCAAATATCTTACATCATGTTTATTCATTTTTCAGTCTCGAGTTTTGGTCAGGTAAATGAGCTGTGAAATAATGGAGAAACCTAAAGTGCTTGTTTGTCGCAGCGACTTCCCCGACATATTGGTGAAAAAGCTCGAACCTTAGTAAGTATGAATTTAGTGTTATGAGTCTATGCTTTAGTTACAATGTTTAAAGCCACTGAAAAGTTTATGCTACTTCTATCAATAGTAAGAAGAGGTTGTTTAAAATTGTTACCCTAATTTTAAAACATAACTTTGAAATTTTTAGGGAATTAATGAATTATAATTAATAGATTAATTTTAGATGAATAATATTGCCGTAGAGTTACATTAAAGCTTAGGTCTGGCGGCCATCTGACAGCAGAGACGCGACCAACGAAAAAATGTTCTATTTTTGATCAGTTCACTGTTTTCTATTAACATGATGATAGTAAGCACCGATGTATATTGTAGTTTTCTCTTGAAAAAATAGGTATAATAACCTCATGCTAATTTGCAAATACTTACACATGTCGAATCTGTTCATTATCGTAATTTTTTAGGTTAATAAAATCATGTACAGTTAGTAATATTAATGTGTTTGCCTCACATAATTTCTAAATTTTGACATAATAAACACGTTTTATTTACAGTTGCGATGTTGAAATGTACGATAAATGCGGTACGATGTCTCGAGCGGAGTTCTTGGCGCGTCTGGCAGGCAAGCACGGCGTGGTGCTAACCACTCACTTCGCTGTTAACGCCGAAACCCTTGATGCTGCTGATAAGTATTATAATTAATTAGCTTTACCTGGAATGATCTATTTAATCTCCCCTTAGGAGGGACTTCTGACATGTGTCCGTGCTCGTCGGAAGTCCTATGGGAATTCACGTTTCTAAGGGTAGTGTTCCTGAGCGCCCCACCGCTGAGCTCGCGGTGTCTTGACTGCAGATCTCAGTTGTGGGGTCATGTTATTATGTAGGTAGGATTCCTTACATTAAGTTATTATGTAGGTAGTATTCCTTACATTAAGTTATTATGTAGGTAGGATTCCTTACATTAAGTTATTATGTAGGTAGGATACCTTATAGTAAGTTATTATGTAGGTAGGATTCCTTACATTTCCCTTCTCTGTTTCTCTCTCGTGCGGGCGGCCGACGTCCCGTGTAAGCGACCTCTTGTTCGAGTGTCTTCGTTTCTGTTGCTTTTCACCTGTCCCTCCTTGTCACTTCGTCTCTTTGAGATGCTAGCGCTGCTTCTTTCGAGCCAGCTTCAGCGGGCTGGACATCTGAGACCTTCCGCCCCTTGTGGCTGATGATTAAATTGAGATATTGAATAATTGAGACCTTCCACCGTGCCGGCAATGTTTGTCATCTTTTGACCTCCGGTGCGGAATAGCTTGATAGCTGAACCGCTAGCAAACCATTCTACCTTTTTTGACCATCTACGTAATCTGCCTTCAATTTCTTCGAACCTTTTTTCAGAGAAAGTTCTGCCTTGTCGACTATGTATATAAAAACAAACTTACAATTTACCATCAAATCGTAGTTCACTTCATTCTGAACTACTAAAATGACGGCATTTGCTGTTAAATTTCTTGCTTAGTCATATACGTATCCTAAATTTACAATCATATGAAGTGTCTGCAATGCACCTCGTTCAATGAATGTACCATTGTTGAGAACAAGTACATAATTCACTTGGCGTTATTCTCCTAGTCAATATTTTTATGTTTGTTATATGCCTCCAGTTGCTGTTCACATAAAAGGCTGTGGTTATCTTAGATACCGGTAGACAATTTAAAGCATGGGTAAAACCAGGCTTGGTATCTTGGCCGTAATATTTTATCCATTCCTATGCCCGTGAGCGTGTGGCAAGTTTCGTATACTAAATTCCCACATAGGCCTATTATTCCTGTTTGAGTCACATGTTATGTTGATAACGTGCTCACTTGTGTTGTGAGGTGCTGGTTGCCGTGCAGTTATTGATATATTGTGTAATTAAATGCATAATGTAATGCAGGCCCAACCTTGGCTGTGGTGAGCTCATTCTCCGCAGGCTATGACCACATCGACGTGCAAGAAGTGAAGAAGCGTGGCATTAAAGTTAGTATCTTGAACCTAGCGTTAAGTTTATTCTTAGCTAGCAGGTTAGTCCGACGTTGCCCGAGATCGATAATCCTGTAGTTATAGCATCCCGTTCGTAATAATAAAGAAACTGTACATGTATTAATAACCCGTCCAAATCTCAAGAAACCCATTACTGATATAGATCATCCATCCTACCACCACGATAATGTCCATCATATTACAATTATTCTGATACCAGCTCATTTATAGAGGAAACACTCTCATTTAACAACCTTTTGAAAATTAAAGTCAATTTTATTGTTCATTACGAAATAATTTATATTGTAGTGATTGTAGGATACATTAAATTTAAATTTTAAATCCAGCTCCCGTTAAGCGTACTTAGTTCCTTCTACTTAAAGAAAAGTATGTATGGTTTTATGGTTTGACTAAAAATGGTTTTGACTATCACGCTTTTAAACGAGACGAATGTTCTTACCGGCACGTGTTAGCCCACAATAAGTGAATAACGCTTCTTCATTCATTACACATTTATCTTAATTAATTTATAATAACTTTGTAGCGAGAAATAGTTAATGATGTTTGTTTGAGGTGGGCGTAACGCCTGACGTCCTGACCAAGAGCTGCGCAGAGCTGACAGTCACGTTGCTGCTCGCCACCGCGCGACGCCTCTTCGAATGCAGCGCCCAGATCACCAGGTTCTAGTCGCCAGCAACTCGTTATTCATACCGGCAACCTTATTTTCTTGAGATTAGTTTGTGAAAGTCTGGGAATATGCATAGAAACGTCAGAGTTTTCGTCGATGTCATTGTTAGTTCTTTTCGGAACTTGTTTGAATTATCAGTTACTAAATCTTTTTAGTGTATGAATAGCGGTTAATTCAGCGAAAACGTGATACAAGTTTGATCTTGATCCTTCGCATCATCCTAGAATCATACGATTTAGCATTTACCTAAATTTTAACAAGAATGTCTTAGCACAGAATAATTGGTTAGTCGTTTTATTTCTTGGGGGCACTTAGCACTTTTAGATTTTCGGCTTAGTGCTTTTAGCGTATAGCTAAAAACGCATGGCAAAATAATATTTAGCATGGGGCAAATATAATGGCTTTAATTTCAGGCTGCGCTATGACTAATATTTTGTCACCTGTCATTTTTTTCAATGCATAAATTTCAGCAGATATGGTATGGATAAAATGTAGTATTTTGGACTCGTAAGGTAGCTGGTGGCTAGAGGGTTAGACCAATACGCTAGTTTACGAAAAATTTCAGCGAAAAGCTTAGTGTTGATCGTTCATTCTGTGCAGCGAGGGTTGGGCAGAAAGCCAAGGCAGCCAGCAATGGATGCTGAGCCGTAGCGTCGCAGGCTCGACGGTTGGTATATTCGGACTGGGCTCCATTGGGTTGGAGGTGCTAAGAAAACTATCCGTTTTTGATGTCGGCAAGTTCCTCTATAATAGCAACGGCCCCAAAGAACTTGGTGAGATTAGTTTAGACAAGAGCGTGAGAAATTGAATAAAATTCTCAGTAGAAGATTTTCATTCGAGAGTAAATTTGAATATTTTATCTGTACCGGCGTGAAAATAAGGTGACTTGATGTGCCCTAAAATGAATCGAGATTATTTCAACCCTTATTTTCGAGCCTGCGCGCGTTTGTGACAGCCGAAATAACTTTGAGCTCGGCAAAATAATTTCTCGATGCTGTTTATCATGATAATAGACGGCCGTTATCCTGTGGCTGAGTTTGTAAGCTTCGAACGGCTGCTGCAGGAGAGTGACTTCGTCATTTGCACGGCGGCGCTCAACGAACAAACGCGCGCCAAGTTCAACAAGGACGCCTTTGCTGCCATGAAGAACTCGGCGGTCTTCATATACTACACAACATCTACTACACAACATCTACTACACAACATCTACTACACAACATATACTACACAACATCTGCTACACAACATCTGCTACACAACATATACTACACAACATCTACTACGACTATCATACATTAGTAGGATACAAAATTATTATTCAGAATTTCTAGAGCTTGTTGGCACTAGAAATTATGGCTCTCAAAGCCATAAATTTTCAGAACTGCATACTTAACCTCATAAATGGGAGTGGAACGAAAGCGCAAATTTTATGATATCGAACAAAACTTGCCTAATAACTTTTCCTCTTGCAGCATTGGTCCCTCATATTGCAAGCGCTGACGTCAAGACGCGTGAAGCGATGGCAGAGTTGGCTGCTGAAAATCTTCTCGGGGGGCTCATCGAAGGCAAACAAATGCTCAAAAGATTGTGCTGAAGCCATCAACAAGACAATGGAGAATTTACTCAAGACACGAACTGTTCAATAGTATGAGGATAATTATATATTTCATCGAATATAAAATTTATTTAATACTATGTAATTGATTAAATTTGAGTTTATATTGTGGCTCCAAAGCAAAATAATGTGAAGCAATCCCTCTAGGACAGAATTTACTTGATCCTGTATAACATCTTGCGCTGCAAACGATGCTGGACTTCCCCACGCCGAATCATGTAGTGCAGGACATTAGAAATAGCACGTTCATGGTATTTTTGAAATATTACTTAGATATTAATAAAATCTAACTATTAAAACTACACTCACTTGTCTCACGAAGTCCTGAACAATAGAGTGCTTTGAGGAGACCTGAGAGCGTTGCCAGGAGACCTGGCAAAGCGTTACACCTCGTCGAAGCTTTGGAGTCAAATTCACCAAATTCCTTTTTTTAAAGAGTTCATTCATGGTCCAGCTTATCGTATTATTGTGAGCATTGTTCTGTGTACATAAATGACCAGTAAAAAATTGACAGTTTGTATGATGGTTCTTACACGGGGCGCCTATCGCTCGACTGGCGCAAGGGAGGCTTGCTGCTCCTTTACTTCCCGTAGTCAGCAACTCTTACTCCGGTCTCTTAAACATTTTTTTTCTATTCTTTCATTTTAGCGGTCATGCCGGATTGCTCATAACTCCTGTCGGCGCATCCCTCATGACCAATGGAGTTGCGCGTTCCTTGATTCAAGACTGGCGCCTGTGGATTAGGTAGCCCATGGCGATGCGCCATGTCGTATTAACGTCGTAAACCACGACCGCAGTGATATTAATTACTATCGCCAACGAAGAATAAATCTTAAATTGAACAAATCATCAACTGCCTGAATTCTGTTCTCTATATATGCCAGGAAGTCGATTAGGATTGTAACACTTCATATTTTTTTGGCCTAAGTGACAAATACGAACTATCTTGATAGCCGCTTCATGTTTTTAGGTGGTAAGATTTAATTCTACCTCCAGGATATCGCATTTACCATACTTCGGAAACATGCATAGGAATATTACTTCCGACTAATGAGGGTCTTGCATTTGACACACGGTTTAAATTAGTCAACGATTCTCATGACCTGGCATGGTGCGTTCTCCTTCGGTATCAGCCGTTGAGAATTTGCAAGACTCCTCGAAATTTGAACTTCTTCAAACCCGCGTTTTCAACCTCTCTGCCGGATGCCATGGAGAAGCCTAAAGTGTTAATCACCAAAAAAGATGTCCCACAGATCGCCATACGGAAATTACGTGAGCTGTGAGTCGTTGAGAAAGCGATTACGATTCACGATGTAATTTGAACGTTGTATATGTGGCGTTAATTTAAAATAGTGTTGTACTAGTGGTAGTGGATAATCGGTATTAGAGTTCTAGCTTGAAATTTTTATATTCTTGCCCAAATAAATTGTTTAGTTATTTTCAAGATCAGCTTCCATTCCTAGGTTTCATGCTTGCTTGCGTTGCTAGTATTAAAATAGAATGCTGGTAATTTTCGTTCGTGTGAGCAGCCAGTTATAAAACATTAAATTGCCAATTTTATTTTATAGAAAGCAAAGTTTTGTTATAAATCATACACTTTGCTCATATATTCGCCGCGTGATTTCTAATTGTGTTCAAATGTTCAGGTGTGATGTAGACATTTACGAAGGCTCCTACCCGATGCCTCGCGACCAGCTCCTGGCCAGAGTCGCCGGGAAAGACGGACTGTTCTGTTTCATCACAGACCGCATCAACACCAAAGTTTTAGACGCGGCCGGTATGAGATCATTATTTATATAAATTATTGAAGAAATGAAATATTAAATAGGGGCAAGCCTATACTCATTCATTTTCTACTCAAATCTCCTACAAGTGAAATTGGGCAGAAGAATGATTCTGGTATCATAACGTTTGACGAAATCATCTAGCTCACCACAGTGAAAGACTCTCATTTCAAGCATTCGTTACTAATGTTCAGATGCTCGTGGTAGATTAATACCTTCCTTGTACTTGAGAACAGGACGTAGCTTGCGTGTGATCAGTACGATGTCTGTGGGCTACGATCATCTCAGCCTCGAGGAAATGAAAAGCCGCGACATCAAAGTAAGCCGGCAGTATCACGCAGCACTTACGGCTTGACCACTGCACGTCTCATAGCTACACTTAAATACTTCTAGAACTCAAAGCTTGAATTCGTCCCTTTGTTTTAGATTAGTTGACGAAAGATGCGCTTCGACAAAATGATTCGTTCTCTTTGATTTTTTTATCAAGTCAAACGTTTTCGTTGAAAATCGTATGCGTTTCTCCCATTATCCACTAAGTGAGAATTGCCCAAGTCTAACTTTCAAGCTTATCCCCAATGGCCAGAAAAAATGTCCCTTTAGTCCCGCGATCCATCCTCGACGCCTGCCAGCTAACAATTATCTTCGTGAAGTAGAACAGAATAGAAGTGTCGGCACTGAAGAAATAGGCCCATGGCCTGTTGCCGATTCTTAAATTTGTCGTGACTTGATTCACAAGGGATCCGGCCTTTGGAACCCGATCTTTCCATAACTGACGATTGATTGAGATAGCTGGTGGAGTTATTGCCCGATCCGTATTTTGCTAGGCATTTTAAGACTGAACATATGCTCCAGCATAGCTTCGTCTAGTCTGTTCTTGAAGGCGTTCATACTCGGAACGTCAACGATGCTATCAGGGAGGCTGTTCCACATGTCGGTGACTCGAATCGAGAAGAAATGTTGTCGCGTGGATGTGTTCCAACGCATTTTTTTAGTTTATAGTCGTGGCCCCTGGTGTTGGGTCTTGTGTCAAATTCTAGTAATCCTTGTGGGACCTTGTGCAAGCCATGAGTATACTTGTATGCTTCAATGAGTTCCCCACGCAGACGTCGATAACTGAGGCTTGGAAGCTTCATTATCTTTAATCTATCCTCATAGGACTTGCCTTTCAAGCCCGGAATTATCTTCGTTGCACGTCTTTGAACACTCTCTATTAAATTTTTGTCCTTTTCAAGTTTCGGTGACCACACGACGTTTCCAATTTTTATGTCCGGGCGCACGACAGCAACAAACAACTGCTTCATCGCTTCTGCAACTAGGAACTCGAAGAGGAAGTAGATGTATGACTAGGAAGTAGAAATATGAGAGAACAAAAGGGATCACTGAGATAACCGGTTGTGTTGGTGGTCAGGTGGGTTACACGCCGGACGTGCTCACTGATGCAACGGCCGAGCTGACGCTAGCGCTGCTGCTGGCCACCTGGAGGCGTCTGCTACAGGCCAACGCTGCTGCTACAGGCCAACGCTGCTGCTACAGGCCAACGCTGCTGCTACAGGCCAACGCTGAGCTTAATAAGTTAGTGACCGACACGTGCTGCCTGTAGAACAGGACCAGCCCGTGGTCAATGGTTTCGTTCAAGCGGGCGTTTGTGTTTTACTTATTTGTTAATTTGAAACTTGAATTAAAATTCTTATTTGCCCTAACCTACAAACGCCGTCAAACCGACAGGTTGAAGTATACATAATTGTTTTATTTGTGCTTTTAACTCGCGGATGCATACACACTTCTCTGATATTTCCTTGATCAATACTTCAGAAATGTTGACTGTTTTTGCTGGGTTGTTTTGCGTGTTTTCCTTACCGAATTCATTTCAAGGAAAAATGATGAAGTGTTGAACTCGGTGGCTTTTGACCCGCAGTGGCGGCTGGGGAAGGTGCGTGTGGGGCCCCGTGTGGATGCTGGGCAAAGGATTGTCGGGGTCCACGGTGGGAATATTTGGTTTGGGGCGGACTGGACAGGCAGTACTCAAGAGGCTCGCGGGCTTCAACGTCGCCAAGTTCCTCTATACGAGCACGACTAAGAAAGAGCTTGGTAGGTTATCATTTCACGATAAACGGTGTCGAATTTCTCTTTTTATACTTGAGCTGAAATTTACTTAAAATAGGAATGATATATTGCTGTTCATGAAGAATTACGTAGCGGCTTTGATAGCAACGTATTAGACCGTTTATGTTTGTTCTATGATCGTAGGTGGCAGTTACCCTGTGGCTGAGTTCGTAAGCTTCGAACGGCTGCTGCAGGAAAGCGACTTCGTAATATGCACGGCGGCGCTCAACGAACAAACTCGCGCCAAGTTCAACAAGGACGCCTTTGCTGCCATGAAGAACTCGGCGGTCTTCATCAACACCTCTAGAGGAGGTCTGACCTAGATTAAATTTGGGCGTTTAGGAAGGTGTGCGTGGAGACCTTACGTCAGACCGTTGCATCCGTCAGCCACGCAGCTCGAAGTCATGTTCGGAACCGCAGTCAATACAAGTCTCATTGGGCTGATCTAAATTCAACTAAATAAAGACATATTTCACACGTACCCCTGAAAAGAAAGCACTGTCATCCTAAGGAACTGAGACGCATTCAAATTTAACGAATGGATCTGCATCATGAAACAGAAAATTGAATTGTGGATTCTAGTTTTGTTCAATTATTCCTTACAATTTTTTATCCCCTTCTCCGTTCATCAAGACTATTTTTGCCTTTCTCCTCCGTTAGCCTTCTTACATTCTCCAAATACCACTTTTCACTCTCGTTGAAATCCAAAGTTGCTTCCTGCTACAAATCTATCACTGCAAACCACTCCTCAGCCAGTCTCGCTCGTACCTCTGCGCCATTACTCTCATTCAGAATCATATCCTTCATTGCCCATCTTTCTCATACTATTCGAATCCCATCATCAGGTGCCCCATAATTAGTGTTCGCTGTCCAGTTAAAATCTCGGCAGCTTTCGATAATAGTTTAGCTTCAAGAGAGTGAACATCTCATACTTACAAGAGTCGTTAATTTACTGTCTATGGCTTCATGTGGAGAGAGGTTTTCGAATCCGTTCAAAATTTTAACTTTAAAAAGTATCATTATAATTCGAATACAAACTTGAACCTAATGATGCGATATGTATGACTTTTTGCGCACCATTCAGGACTGGTAGACCAAGAAGCGCTAGTGTGGGCCATTCAGACCGGCCAGATCAGGGCTGCGGGTCTGGACGTGATGACGCCAGAGCCGCTCCCCGCTGACCACATCCTCACCACCCTGCCTAACTGCAGTGAGTTGATCAGCCATGTACAGCATGCACTTACGCGACACGTAACAAATACACTCACGCACAAAGGCAACCTAAGCCACAAATACAGTATGCAACAGAAATAACGCGTATGCCATACATTGATACACGCCACACTCGCGCGATGTTCACCACACATACGCTAACCACCGCATATACACCAGTTTGCGCGTTAAACCTCCAGCATTTCATGTCTAAAATGCATTGTCCTTCGGTGTTCAGATGACATGCTATGACATTCACATTTGATGAATTTTCATCACTCACTATGTTAACTTGCGTGTAATCGCAAAGCTTTTTTGCGATACAATGACAAATGAATGATTTCAAGAAATTCAATAAGCTTTTGAATGGTTGAGATGTTTCTCTTGATCCAGCGCTGCTACCTCACCTCGGCACCTCTGAGGAAAGAACCCGCGCCGCCATGGCTGAACTTGCCGCAGACAATCTTCTTGGGGGGCTCATCGTGGGGAAACAAATGCCTAAAAGATTATGCTGAAACCATTGCAAGATAAGGAGTTTTTACTTGAGACACGAACGGTTTAATAGCATGAGGACAATCATAAATTTCATCGAATATAACATTTTATTTAATACGGTGCAATTGATTAAATGTAAGTTTAATTTGTAGATCCAATGCAATGTCAGAAAAGAATTTACTTGATCCTGTAAAGCATCTTGCGCTGCAAACGATGCTGGACTTCCCCACGCCGAATCATGTAGTGCAGGACTTTATAAATTGCACGTTCAGGGTATTTCTGAAATATTACGTAGATATTAATAAAATCTATAATAATTGCTTTTTTACTTGTTTTTATATCGAGATCAAATATTATTGACATTATAATGTTGCACCGTTTTGAACCAACAACTGAAACTACACTCACTTGTCTCACGAAGTCCTGAACAATGGAGTGCTCGGAGACCTGGGAGCCGATGGCAAAGCGTCGCTTAATTTGTTTCTCGATGCGGGAGATTGTCTCCTGATCTTCTTCAGTTGTGAAACCCTCAGCACCTGAAGTTTGCGACACTTTCATAATCCTACTGCTTAATGAGCGTGTTAATAAACTTTTACCGTTTCAGCTTATAACACCAAGTGAATTAACTAATTTGTCAATCATAACAACGTAAAAAATGCCCTTTTTTGTTCAAGTTTGCTATAGCATTTACTAACCAGTAAGGGAGCCTGACATGGCAGCGTCGAGGGTGGACACTTGGAAGAGCCTTAGAGCTTCATCTACGTCAGCTTCATTAGCATATGCACTCAATCGCATCTTGGCCAGTGACTCCGATATACGAACGATGGCTTCGAGTTGCCTGCTCCCAGAAAATAGACTAAGTTACGCACAAAATGTCATTCGAGGGCGGGGAGAGCAAGCCATCATTACATGCCTTGGAAGTCGAATTATATTAGAGGGAAAGTTCCTACAACAAAAAATGTTAGCACCTTTCACTATTTTCCATTACAGAAGTATCAATCTTTCTCTTAGTCATCAGAGTAACTTGATACTATTGCACGATATTCCAGTTAGATATTATATTTCCTATATTTATTAGAGCCTTAATTATTTGATTGCAGCCTCAATTACTTGACGTTTCTTAATATGAAATAATTCAATCACACTGACAAATTACGACATCTTAAATAATATCGATTTATAATACGCATCAACACTTCTATATACGTCTGAAAAGCAGTTAACTGATAACATCACTGACCGAACTGTGATGGGGATGGCGAGCCGCTTATCAGCCTGAACCTCGGCCTCTCGCGCCCCATTCCTCATAAGCACATAGCGGTTCTGCAGCTTGGCACCCGCAACCTCCGATAGACGCGGTCCACAGTGACTGAAACATCATATGACATGCGTTTAATTAAAGATGTATTAAATTTTTCACTTCCGAATTGCAGAAGACATTCACACAATTCTCCTTAAAAATCAATGAACTCAGTTCACATTCTTTGTTTATGCAAGAGATTTTATGATCACACAAATGAATATTTGAATTGCAGCACAAAAATGCGATCCATTGATAAAATATTTATTCGAGCTTGGAACAAAACTCTGCGGTAAAGCATCACTTACTGCATTAATATTTTTTTCCACCTTCAGTCTTGCCTGTAATTGAAGACACCTAAAAGAGATCATTTAAAGATCACAATGACCAAATTTGTATTCATAAAAACTTGTGAAGACTCGACATTGTTGGAATAACGAAGTTACTTTCTCACCTCCTACAATAGCTGATATATTTCTTGAGAAATTGCAGAGACAGTTCACCCTCGGCAAGGGCAGAGTCTTGCACGTTGTTGGAGTTTAGATGAACGTTCATCACGTGCTTCGCCAAAACCTGAGATTCAATAGAAAATGTTTAGCTTCAATTCGGAAAATAAACTTGCATTTCGTTTGCAGTGAAAGATAAGAACATCCACCAAGCAGCTGGCTGAGTTTCAGTCACGTTTCTCAGTTCTAGTTGGTTATTTTAACTTTCTCAACAACACTTCGTTTGACCCTATTATGCACGCGAAAAAAAAGAGGCCAAGCACGCAAAAAAGAGGCCAAGCAAGACCTAAATCAGCAACATAAATGACCCACATAATTATAAGCTTACGTAAAATCAATTTCCAAATTTCCCTTACCATATCCTTTTCTTCGTCGTGCTCATCTTTCACAATATAAATCATGTCAAAACGAGACAGGATTGTGGGCATAAAGTCGATGTTTTCTTCTCCTTTCGTATCATCCCAACGCCCAAAGACAGAGTTGGCGGCAGCGAGCACGGAGCAGCGAGAGTTGAGCGTTGTTGTGATGCCTGCCTTGGCAATGGATATAGTCTGTTGCTCCATTGCTTCGTGGATCGCAACGCGGTCGTCTTCTCGCATCTTGTCGAACTCGTCAATGCAAACAACACCGCCATCAGCAAGAACCATAGCCCCGCCTTCCATTATGAAGTTTCGCTACAAATTAAGAACAGGATGAATTGGATGAGGAAGAAAACAAAAATGATACACAAAAATTGAAGAATTAATACAACTCTTTGAAGTTGAGTCCCATTCTCAATGTGTAGTTTGCCAACAATTTCAAATGCAACAATTCCAAAGAAGTCAAAAATGTAGTTACTTGTGTTCATTTGTTACTCACTGAAACAGGATCTCGAATAACTGATGCAGTTAGGCCAGCAGCTGAAGAGCCTTTGCCTGACGTATAGACTGCAATAGGCGACACTTGCTCCACGAACTTCAGCAGTTGACTCTTAGCCGTGCCAGGGTCTCCAAGAAGCAGCACGTTAATGTCACCTCGACGGGTGAGGCCATCAGGTAAACGTTTGCGAGACCCACCAAACAATAGGCACGCTATTGACTTTTTCACACTCTGTAAACATTTGAATTTTTAAGCGATAGTAGGTGAAAATTAAACTAAAATATTGCATAATCAACCAACAAATTTTTTTACAGTAGAATTAGCGATGCCAGTAATTATAGAAATTTAAATTTGACGTAATAGAGAAGGTTCATAAGCATATATGTAAGACTCCATAATATGAGAAATCAAAGTGAAAAAAAGGACACAATTAAGATATTCTAAGTAAAACAGCAACAAACTTAAATAACATATTTTACCTGAACCTTAAACAAATGAAGCCAGGAGCACCAACCTGAAAGCCAAAGATGCTTGGCGCAATGCTTTTGGCGATTCTCTCATAGACATCAGGATCCTGACTGAGCTGTCTAAATTGTTCCTCGTCTTCAGCAGTAAAGCGGCCTGACACGCCCCCAACGCTACCACGGCCGTCCTGCGCCCCAGTGATGCCAACCACCCGCAGGTACGGGGCACGGAGACCCACGCCACCACCACGCTCGTTCCTGTCTTTCTGTAAGGGGATTCTACATGTCAAGTAGGTGTGGTGCAACAGCTATCCCTGGTAATTGTATTTTTCTCTCAAATTATCACAAGGCCGATGAGAAAAATTAAATAAATGGGTTATTCACATTAGAAATTCTACTTAAAATAACAGTGGAAGATATGAGATATACAATTCACCTAAAAATCAATCTCATGCATGTGTCTGATATGCGAGTTCTACGCCGTTTGAAGGCTTGGGACTTACAGACTTGCCGACTTTCTTGATGGAGTAGATGCCCAGAACGGTGACTCTGTTACCAGGGACCACTCTCTCACACAAGGACCTGTCGCAATACAGCTGCAGGTGTCTGGGCATTTCTCCCTGAGGCAAATTCTCAGGCACTTCTTGAAGCTTCAGTACCTGATAATCTACACAGTCACATTTGTCGGGCACAATGAAGAACGGATCCAGAGGACACTTGGGACGTCCTGCTTGCTCCCTGCAAAGAAAGATAATATAAGGTTTTAAAGCTACCTGTAAAGAATAAAGTTTTCAGGCATAAATAAAAACATTTTAGTGACAATGATGTATTTAAATACTTTCTACTAAATTATACTTTTTTACTCTCGAATTAACACTTTGTACAAGATGTGTCCAATGACAAAAGCCTTTATCACCAACTTATTATGGTAGTATTCATCACATTCACAGCAAATTTTTCGATGGGACAGCATCCAGTTAGAGAAAGAGATCAAGATGCATTACCTATATTCTTTGCTGTAATCATTCACTTTCTGGCTGTTGAGGCTTTTTTTATGTGGCTAGCTATACTCCTAGATTTGATACTTTTTTTTTTCATTTGAGACGAGACGACAGGGTTTAGCCCGGTTAGCAATAAAAACGGGACAATTTCCAGCTCTCCGTAGGAATTCCAGGACAATACCCAGTTCCAGGAAAATATTCCCGTTTAAAATAGAGTTTCACATTTTCCAGAATTTTCATCATTTATAAAGGGACATAACGAGATAAACTAGTTAATCCTTAATTTGCAATTAGAATAATAAATCGTTTCAGATATACATTATTTGATCAGCATTTTGTCTGTTTTAGGCATATTACTATGTATATAATCACATCACTATTGCCCATCTAGCAAATTTGAAGGGCCAGGGTATTTTAATACATAACCAATTGTTAGAAATGCGTATTATTATCAATTTCTACGTCATTTCGTTTTTGATTAGAAAAAAATTTACACAACTGAACAGATCACAAATCTCTCAGTTCTGTACGGATCTGCATAAAATTGAAAACATATCTAATTAAAAGCCAGACTCTGTGGTAGGTTTTGCCATCATTAGCCCAGTAAAAGTTTGCAGTTGTAAGTATAGCTAGTTACTCTTTCATGCCTGACGAAAGAGCTAAATAATCAAGTATAATTTTGCATTGTATGGATTACAAATATTTGTAACCATTTGTTAAAGCTCTGGCATTCCAATTTCGCTACATCTTCCGAAATCATTTTGGAGAAGCTACTATAGGAAATTTATTATCTTCCGATAGAAAAAAAGCATGCAACACCAAACTTAGTTCTCCCAGTTCAACACTCATACTAGGGAGATTGGCAGAAGTCTTCAGCAGTTTTTTTATATTATTGTAATGTATTACGAATGTAACCGTATTGTAATTAATCTTTACCATGCAATCACTAATTAGAATAGATCTATTTATGGCTAAGTATAAAAATGAGAACCAGGAAACTCAATGTTGAATAAGGTAACAACAGCCAGCCGGTTAACGTGTTGCATAAAACAACAAAAACTACCAACAGACTCGCACGTTGCATAAAACAACAAAAACATCAACCAGCAGACTCAATCATTACACAAAACAACAAAAACATCAACCAGCAGACTCACGCGTTACAAAAAACAACAAAAACATCAACCAGCAGACTCACACGTTACATAAAACAACAAAAACATCAACCAGCAGACTCACGCGTTACATAAAACAACAAAAACATCAACCAGCAGACTCACGTATTGCATTTCCTTGGGAGCATGTATCCTTCAAGTCCAGGCTTGACAGGCAAGTTATTGATGGTGGTCTGGCAGGAGCGGCACTGCACTGTCATTGTGCGAGCTTTGGCCTTGACACCAGACGCTGCCACAACCAGCCCAACAACGCTCACCAGCCGACTCACTTCTGAGGACTATAACATCACAAATTAGGGCAACTAACAAATGGTAATCTTGTTCCAACACTACTGATAAATGGACCATGAAAAATGCACCAACAATCTAGTAGTGTGCATTTGAACATCCTCCTACAATATATTACAAGGTAACAAATTTAATTACCAAAACCCTGTGAACATAGTGCACTGGCATAATAAAGCAGAAAGAGCATTAATTTCATCACATCGGCTCATAATCAATTTCTCAAAAACTATGGAAAATGAAATAGCACTCAATTTATCATGGCAAAGAAATAATGAGACAAATGGAAAAATTTCCTTGAGTAAAGAACTGAACAGAGACAATGCTCATGTCCCAGACTTTATGAAACGTTAGGATTCAATACCATACAGAGAGAAAAAGGCCTAGACATATGATAATTATACGTGATAGTAAGAATTATTTGATTATTAATAAAAAAAGTCATTATTCAATAAAAAATTTAGATATTTAGAATCATTTACAGATAAATAAAAACATTTATTCAAAGGGCCATAACTTGAATTATATCAAATAATCTAGAGGCACAAAAAATTGAGTAATCAAATTTTATCGGGAACAAAACTTCACACAAATTTAGGAGCCATCAATCCATTATTTTACATGAATCTTTATTCTTAGTCAATCATGGCAGTGAAATATCTTTAATATCAGTGGCCAACACTTGTTAATAAACCCTGAAGCAGCCAGTACTTCACAAGGCCACTGGTCGGATGATTAGAAGAAACCACAAGTTATTAGTCAGCTCCTTGGGCAGGGTAAGCGTGACTCAGCTCTGGCCTTTAACATTTGCTTGTTCACATGGTTTGACATTATTACCTGCTTATTAAAATTACCTGCAAGTCTCGAACATCAACAGACTTTGCTGCAGTATGTAGAGTAACTTGAATGTCATGGATCTCCTCTTCTCCTTCAGGACGAGGAGCTGTTACTTCATCAGCCACTTCTTGGGCAGCCTCCTCAAACTGAGAACAAATGAACAGTCAACAGCTGAAATATTTAAAACATGTGCTACATGAGTATTAATTGTCATAGGCCTAATGTAATTTCTGTATTTACCATGCAATTAAAAACATCAGACTTTCCCCAATCAGTACAAAAATTTTCAAAAATTATTGATTTTCTTCCCGTTCCAATGAAGCCATTGGTTCCACTACATGGTAATGGATTGAATTGAGGACAATGTTGGTTTACTCTCAACCCTAAGTTTACCTAAGCAGTAAAAAGTGTCCAATAAATCTTACGGAAAATACCCTTGGCTTTTGAATATTGCTTCATTGTATTAAGCTAACTACCCAATGTCAGCAGGTAAATGTTAGAAGACATACAAGGGGAAGATGTTCAGTGGGCTGCTTCCGGAGTTTATCAGCCAGTGTCTCATCATAGCTGGCAAGGTCCTCCAGGCTGACATCCAGCCAATACTGGTGAAGGTTGTACTGCCTCTTCAGACCATCTCTGCACAATAAGTGAAGAAATGATACTTCAGTGAATTATCTATATAAACCATGAAGGGCCAAACTCTTGAAACTAACTTCATATAGGATATTAACAAGTTGAGCTGGTATTCCCACATGTATCAGTGATGAGAGAAAAAAAAATTCATCTCACATCCTGCAATGACTACGCCAATATCCTGTAAAATTAAAACTATAAATATAAGTAAACTAATGCCTTATTTCAATCAACATTAACATCATTAAGTGTAGAATTCCTATTCATCTCAGTTGGAAATCAAAAGCAAATTTCAATCTTCTGTTTTATTTCAAGTTTCCACAAAAGAAACAGAACATTTTAATTCCATAATTCACAAATCTATTTCTTTGCCTTGAAATGCCTCACAATGCAACAACTGCTAATGAAATTTTGGATACAAGGTAATATATATACTATATCCCTACACAATTATTGCGGATAAGCACAAGATAAACTCGTTTGTATTTCCAGCACCAAGCTTCAAACATACAAACTTTTTTGAACATTTAAATGAATTAATATCAGATGCTTAATTTTAATCTCTGATCTATTATATCCATATATGAAAAAAGATTGATAAATAGCAGTCATCTCGGTGATTTAAAACCAATTGAAAAATAATAATCATTATAATTTTTCAAGCAGCATAGACAGTCAACTGATTAAATATTCAATAAGATGGGTTATGCAAAAAAATTTTTTCAATAAATTTTTTAATTGTAGAACCAAAAGGTATCATTTCCAGTAATTTTGGAGAAAATGGTAAGGGCTCTAGAAGTGGTTTAATCCATTATTGAAATTTTCCTACTTATTACTAAAGTCTCATGACTTCAAAGTGCTATTTTAAATACATTTGTAATCTCGCAGCCCAATCCAGTTTAAATATATATATATATATATTTTGTCCAGTATATGTGTGTATATATATACACTATTGGTACAATAATATATGAGGTTGTTCATCTAGCAGGAATCTTGTGGCTCCAAATATGGTTCTGGGTAATGGTTGCCAGAATTCGAGGTTCAGATTCTGGGAAAATGAGCAGAAGGCCAGAAGCCATCCAGGAATGAGACAGAATGGCTGAGAATGCACATGCTTAGTCAATATTATCTGTTAAAATAAAGCCCTTTTATCAAGCATTAAATAGTGCCTGATTAAATAATATTAATATTATTTTCCAAACCTCAACTACAGATTTTTGTATAATTTTAGGAGCTGCAAGATATAAGTCCACTATCAGCAGGCTGATTTCAAATTTATTGAAAACGTCTCGATTAGAAGCTGAGGAAAAATACAAACTTGTCCTTAAAGCCTAGACTACATTCTACCTTGTCTCATTTCTACCCTAGACTAAATAAAACACATTAGTGCCCCCACCCCAATTTTGGATTTTCTATAGATGTGCAGAATAGTTTTTTTTTCCATAATAGAAAATATCATATATCCCATAAATATTTTTCCCATAATGGAAATTAAAAATTTTTTCCCATAATGAAAATCTTGACCAAATATTCTAGATTATTTTGTTATCTTGGCCTAGAATAGATTGAAATTTTCTTGCTTATTAATGTAATCTTGCAGCTTCAAAGTGACTAAGTTTCAATACATTTTGAATCTTACTGTGTCATGATATAACATTTTACAGACAGTGGACCCCATGTTTTTATTTATCAGAAATTGTTATGATTATTATTAATATTTGAGTCAAATTAATGGGATTCTTTTTAAACATGTACTGGTGTGGAACATATTCTGAAAAATAATTCTTATTATTTTGACTATAATTCTTATTATGGTATATGACCATTAGTCATATCACTCATGGTGGAATTTTAGGAAGTGGTTGATCATTTAGATCCACCAGGATGGCACTTAGCTATCTGCAGAGGAAATGACAGTTATTTTTGGTTGCTGGAGTGTTCTAATGGCTAATGCACTCATCCAGGCCATCCACTCCTAAAGGAAAAGGAGTAGGATTGTTACCGGGGGTTGTAAATACTATTTTTATAGCACAACCTTCTTGCGTTCATGATCTTTATTCTCATTTTTAATAATATATTGAGTGGACAGGTAGAGCATTCATTTTACTTTGTGTTAGTTAATATTGTTCTTTTCTTATTTTCTTTACAGTATTACAGAATTACAGTATAAACAGAATTCAACCAGCAAGTGCAATAGTCTGATCAAAGTGCTCATTGAATGTATCTGCTCCATGGTATAGGCATCATCACCTGTCCATGTTCCTCTTTATTTGCTAATTCTTCACTATTCCATGTTCCTCTTTATTTGCTAATTCTTCACTATTCCATGTTCCTCTTTATTTGCTAATTCTTCACTATTCCATGTTCCTCTTTATTCCTTAATTCTTTACTACTTCTTTTTCCCCCAATTCGCAAGTTCTTAACTACTTGTTCTGGCACAATCCTTGACTTCTCTCATAAGCCGCTGATCCCATGTAATAAATTATGTATCATTGTTTTAACTCTGTTTATTAAAACTCAGAAAACACCAACTTTAATTCCCCATAAACTAAGTAGCTGCAATAGACAAATACAAGCTGATGACGAGTTCATCACACCCGCATAACAATAGTCAAAACTGCAACAGGATGAGCAAGCTGTCGCTGCTGCTGTCCCACTTGTATTGGAGCGTGCGGCCAATCTTATCTTATTGCATCAAGCATGCTCCTATTTTCTTTAGTTTGGCCACCACACTCAATTACATAGAACATGATAATTTAGAACAGTGGTTCCCAAAGTGGGCGATATTGCCTGGTTTGCCCCCCTATGGGCGGTGGAAAGATTTTGGGGGGCGATAAGAAGAGAGCGGTAGGGGGGCGATAGGGGGGGCGGTAGTCCAAAGTTGATGTCAGAAGTTTGAACGTTTGACGATTTGTACACAACACATGCAGCACATGACTCCTAGCGATGGTTTTGTCGCCCTGATCTGTTTTTTAACCTCTTCTGGGTTTACGTCTTGGACAAATTAACGGCCAGACTCATGGCCAAATTCCAAATTCAATGATCAAGGAATATCTCTCAAACTAATGAACTTAACTCCATGAAACTTAGTACACGTTTTCATTAGGACCTAACGATAATGTTTAGCTTGTGAAAATTGTTTGAATTTTGCCATTGTTTGTTTTTGCCATAGTTGTATCTTATATGGCAATACGGGCCAATATTCACAGTGATCAACCAGATCAAGTAATTTCTTCAACACTACTGAACAGATTCGAACGAAATTTTGAATTTGCAGTCCTAATTACCAAATGATAATGTTTAGCTCATGAAAATTCTTTCGATTGTGCCTTCGTTCGCGAGTTTTTTGTTTCATTTAACCAGCACTCGTGATTCAAACAGCAATACGTGTTTAAATTCGCAGTAATCAAGAAATTTTTCCAAACTGCTGAACAGACTTCAACGAAACTTGGTATTTAAAACCTAGCCTCAGCAACGGCAATGTTTAGCTCATTACAATTTCTTTTGTTTTGCCTTCGTTTGCGAGTTATACGGCTATACGTAAAAGGCTCTTGGTTAAACCGGCCAGAAAAAAAGCCGGTTGTTCCTCATATATCTGTATAACTCGCGAACAAAAGTCAAATGATAAAATTGTCACGAGCTAAACATCACCGTTGAGAGGTTAATTATATACAAAGTGTCGTTGAAATCTGTACAGTAGTTTAGAAGAATTTTCTTGTTCACCGCGAATTTAAGTGACAAATTATACCCGGCGATACGGGCCGAATGTTAGGAAATAGAATGACGATGAAATGAAAAAAAATCAAGAATGACGATGAAATGAAAAAAAAAACTCGCAAACGAAGGTAAAATAGAAAAAAAATTATATGCTAAAAAATCACGGTTTGGTAGTTAGGAATGTATATTTGAAATTAAGTTCAAATCTGTTCAATAATTTGGAAGAAATTCTTTGATCACTGCAAACTTCAGCCTGTTTCGCAATATACACGTAACTCACGAATGAAGGTGAAATTAAAAAAAAAAATTACAAGCTAAACATTGCCGTTAGGTTTTGATGAATACATGTTCCAAGTTTCATAGAGCTGCGTTCATTAGTTTGGAAGACATTACTTGATAATTGAATTTGGAGATTGGTTGTGAGACCGGCCACGAGTTCGGCCATAAATTCGCCCGAGACATCCTAGGTTTCTGGTGCCGAAACAGTTAAAACAGCTGAAAAACATATTGGTTCACTAAATGGGGCTCTATTTGTGAAATACACATTTGTGTTTAACCTTTCTCTTTTAAAATTGCAGCATACTAAATTTCAAGAAAGAGGGGGGCGCTTCTTCTGTTAAATTTCTGTGGGGGGCGCTAGAAATCCACTAGGGAGCCAAAGGAGGCGCCAGCCTGAAAAAGTTTGGGAACCACTGATTTAGAATGCCACCTCTGAGATAATTCAGCCCCTGAATTAATATGCACTACGCAATCATAGTGAATAATGCGGATCTTTGCTCAAAGACAATTTTAACATCCTGAAAATCAAATTACAGATGAAAAATAATCAATAAGGCCTGCTCCAGTTGGTCCAGTAGCATGATAAAGCCAGACTCAACTGATAATTAGGTAGCTAATTCTGAAAATTAATAATCAAATCAATAATTTCAAATTTGTGACAAAAATTTTAAAAATATTTCAAGCCTTGCTTCCTTACCAGTTTGAAAAGAGTTCTACAAGCTGATTTTGTATCCTAGTAGAAGTTAATTGAGTATTCCTAGTATTGAGCTAAATTTTATAGCTAAAGTTGCTAGTGGAAGTCTAAAGTCTTACCTGTATTTGTAGTTGAAATTTCCTTCGTGGAATTCACGAAGAAATTCCTTGAATTTTTTCTTGATGGACTGAAAATTTGCCTGATTACGCTCAGAATTGTCTTCAGAGGCAAAATTGTCTGAGAAAAAGATGCCGGGATCATCAAAACCCTCCATTATGACAGGTTATTGAAAGAGTGTACAAGCAAATCGAGGCTCTTTAACTATGGCGCGAAATTTCCCGCGTAAACTTCTTCTTTGTGTGATTAACGTAGTAAGTACAGATAAAGTCTCCGTACAAAGGTTTGGAACAAAAATTTGTATTAATTTCTTTTCATTTTTTAAATAAATACTCTGATACCATTCATCGCAATAAATTATTTTGACATGAATTTGGATTGGATTTGGATTTGGGGTGTGGTGACTCTGAAGGGAAGAACGACATTTCAGAGTCAGGCCTTTGCAACGGCCATCAGCCACGCATCACATTTTCATTTGTTAGTAGAAAGGAGGAAGAAAGGGAAACTATAAGAGCAAGGAGGGTGTGAAAGTTCGTGTTAGGGTAAGATGAGAGCTAGGTGAAAGGGAATACAGAGGAAATTCATATGGTTTATTATTGCTATATCTCAGCTTTTGCCCTATGTAACTTTACAATTGCGTTAGTTATGTGGCCTCTAACGCCCTAAGTGATTATCTGCGTTATATTGGGTTATTATGGTTGTTTATTCTATCTTTATTATACTGCTGCTCTCAACTGTCCCCCGGCCTCCACTCTTGCCAGCCTCCTCTTCTCCCTCACTCTCCATGCACTCTCCAGAAAACGCTTTCCAATCTCAGTCATAGCGGCTGTCTCCCCCGTTGACAAGCCCACTATCATTGCCATCCATTCATCTCCTGTTCTCTCATATACCACTCCGTCACCCTCACCTCTCTCATCCAGTATCACTCTCATCATTTCCAGTCTCTCCCGCTCATATGCGTCACACTCCATCATCAGGTGCTCCACAGTTTCCCTCTCGCCTCTGTCACACATGAAACATATATCTTCTCTTCTCTCATTCCACCGGTAAGTCCGCGCATTCACGCTCAAAGCATTTGCTCTCACACAGAACATTAGATCTCCACCTCTACTTCCATCATATATGTACTCATACCTTGGCGCCTCTTTTATCCTGTACAACTTCAGGCTGTCCTTTCTTTCCATTCCTTGCTTCCACACTCTCAGACCCCACAGCTTCACTCTCTTTTCTATTTCCTTCTTCCATTCTTTGACGTCCCATTCGATCCCTGATGCACCCTGTACTGTTATCATCCAATCCTCTCTTGGTCTATTATTTCCAGGGCAAGCCCGTGTTTCATGTAATCCACACTTTCGTACTATTGCATGACACTTACGTTCCCATTTGCTCACTCTCAAATTCCACAGGTACACCTTACGTGCCCAGCGTGCATCATCCATTCTTTCCAGCCGTACTTTATACCTCAATGTTGCTTTCATTCTTCTCTCTCTAAAAGTGCTCCATCCCATATCTCCTCTCAGAGCCTCCACTGCAGTCCATCTGGGGGCTCCAAGGGCCAGTCTAGCTATCCTATTCTGTACAGCCTCCAATTTATCCAGTTCCCCATCATTCCATGCAATAACGTCCATTCCGTACATGATCCCAGGTACCGCAACGCTTTTCCATACTTCTCTTAGAACATCATATTTACTTGCTCTCACATTTGCTGCACTGCCCAGAATTCCTAACCACTGGTTTGCTTTACTAAGGCTCAGCGCCTTGGTTCTCTCACATCCTCTTTGGTCAACACTCATTCCCAAGTATCTGTACTCATTTGTCTTCCCAATCACATTTCCTCCCAGCTGCCACACTCTGTCCACATCATCAGCTGCTCCATTCACAACTAGCACTTGACTCTTCACTGGGCTAAAGCGCACATTGAAGTCCTTGCCATATTCAGTTATGCAGTCAAGCATACTCTGCAGTTCAACCCCATTTTCACTCATTATTACTGCATCATCAGCATACAATAGCATTTTTAGTCTTTCATCTCCAACACACACTCCCACATCCATTCTTCTCAGTCTAGCAGCCATCTCTTCAGTGTACAGGCTGAAGAGAAGATGCCGGGATCATCAAAACCAAACCAAAACCATATCGTACATATGATAATCGTGTCAGAAATTCAAAATTCTTGACGATAACGAAGCGGAATTATAGCAGAATTATAGGTACTTAAACCCGGGATAGAATTAGGGAGAGTATTAGCTGCAAGTATTTTACACTTTTAATTTTGCTGGGTGAAATCTTATGCACGAGGAAAGTATTTGCTTAGCAGTATTTTTACATCCGCAAGTTCCAGTGCATCGGTAGGGGCTGCCGAGGGAGGTTAGAGTACGATGGAACATGGAACGTGCCAGTAATGGAGAGTTTGAAGAGGCTTTTGATAAAGCAGTTGGTGACATTGATACAACTCTACCTGGGAAACGGGAAAAATCATATCGGTCATCGTAGAGTGTGGGTGAGAGACCTAATAACGTCTTGTTCAAGTTTCAAAACCCTGCTTTCTCAGTTTTAGTTGGAATATTCATCGTGATGTACATTCCACAGTAGATGGTACGTTTAGAATATATATAGGAGCAGTTGGACATCACCTGAACACTGCCTAACGGCCTTAGAACGGTCGTCGTCGCTGGGACCAGACATAGTTCATAACATTAGAAGCACCTGCCCCGAGCAGAATACAGCGAGCAGAATACAGAGAGGGGCAGATGCGCACACTACTGTTGCTGCAGCCCAACAGGTGCCACTTCACGGCTCATCAACATTAACTGCTACACGCGTAATTGCAGCAGCTTCTTGCATCTGAATCATAAATCAGTACAGAATATTAAGCGTGAATTCTTGTAGCAAACACTCACACTAATACTAGCTTCGTGTATAAGCACCGTTATTGAGCATTGTGACCACTTTTACAACTCAAACTACTTAAATAATCTTCACGCAGTAATAACTTCCATATTAAATCACTATTTTCAAATGATTATCAACTAGTGCCATAAATTAAGTTTATTACAGGAATGAGCCAGCGCACTGGAACACAATCAACTAGCAATTCATTTTCAGGGATAATAAAACCAGTCCCGAGAATAATGGTGTAACGTATCACGCTAAAATAAACTATCTTTAGACAGTTATCGCCTGATACAGGAAATCTCCATACATTTGAAAGATATTTCAATAAAAATAATTTTCATATGTATTTCACAAAAGCGCGTAGTTATTGCACCAAGAAAGGCAGGTATATCTCGAAATAAGCGCAAAATGGGTGATGAATTTGATGAATAAGTGAAATCTGTGCGTTCAGACACTTAAGCTGATTGATTGGTGCTTCAATTTGATTATGTGATGAACTCGCGATAAAGAAACAACCTACGGTAAATATAACAAGGAGTAAGAGTATCTGGTGTCACTCATTCGAATAGCAAGATCAATCTCGAGCTAAACTTTCAGTACAACTTACCGGTGGCAAATCTATCATAGTGATAAAATAAGTTTTAACTTCATTAACACTATTAAATCATCGATTACACGTACCTTAGTATGAAATGAATAATGAAACAATATCAGAATAATCCTAACATCACGACAGACATTTAAATAAGTAAATATTCTGCTGAAACAACAATATAACACAATTAAAAAATAATCCCGTAGGTACAGTAATATAACGTACACTTGTATTTGGTCCACGATTCGGTGTTAAGTATGCCACAACTCCACAGAAGTGACGAGCTCCCCATGAAGCGCCTAGTAGCAGCACGTGCATGAGAGACGAATCAGTCCCTCAAAATGCAGAGGTGCAAATTATACTCAATCTGGAACAGTCTGACAAAATAAACGCAAATCTTGGACTCCTTTCGAGAAACTTCTTGAAAATTTACCGTAATTCAGAGATGAAACTAATCAAGAGATAAAATGTCAGGGTATTGGGAATAAATGGATTTTGATATCCGACTTGAAATTCTAAGTCTAGTCCACATGTATCAAGCCCGCATATTTTTTCTAACAACGGTATACAAGATTTATTCACGTGAAATATAAGTAAGGATGACTTTATAACGTTTATATAATCGTGAATTCCATTTACGGATCCCAGCCGTCAGGGAGCCCCCAGCCCTAACTTTAATGGAGATTTGCCTATAGATTCAAAACATTTTCATGATATAGTCTCATGAGATTCTCAAGGTACAGAAGGTTATTCTTGCGTAGCATGAAATTTATCGTCATACAACTCGCGGATTTATGAGAAATCGCCATACAAAAATGACAGTTCGTTTCTTTCCATATAAAATAAATTTATACTATGACAGCGATTACTTTTAGTTCCATACCAAATGTTCGGAACGGAAAGGCGAGACGGAACTCTGAGAGTTCCTTTAGTATTTGTACTGATTCATTCCATAAAAAAATTTGTGGTTAAAAACCCTTCAATGATAGATACTCAGGAGCCATGCTATCACGACTATACTAATATTGATTCTACCAAACGAGTACTCGCTTCTTGGACATAATTTTCTCTATAGGAATTGCCTTTTATAACCCAACAGGTACTAATGGACCAACCATTTATTGACCACTGGCAAGAGGCACGTCGTTAGCTCGCATAAAGCTTCATTTGGTTGACCAAGTCGTCCATGGAAGTATCACCGAACTTTTCTCTCTGCGCCTGCATGAGTCGATGTATGGTGGCAAGCTGCTCGTTCTTCACTCTATGTAACAAATTAGTGATAACACTTAGCATTTTAGAAATGTTACTGTTCACACAATAATTGATAGCAAGTAATGTTACTATTTACACAATAATTGATAGCAAGTAATGTTACTATTTACACAATAATTGATAGCAAGTAATGTTACTATTTACACAATGATGGATAGCAAGTAATGTTACTATTTACACAATGATGGATAGCAAGTAATGTTACTATTTACACAATGATGGATAGCAAGTAATGTTACTGTTTACACAATGATGGATAGCAAGTAATCTGAACTCTCACAAACTATGAGTCACAAATACTCGGTAGAGATATTTATTTGTTGCAGTAAAGGTACGAGTATTAATCATACATCAGTCACCATAAGCATTTCTCTATATATGACGAGGGTTTGTATTTTAAAGCCTGTTTGAGTGCGTACGTATACACGATACTGTTTGAATATTACCTGGTATACTGAAATTGTATTCTTAGTTGTTAAATCATGAGGCATTTTAAGACAAGGAAACAAAAAATGATGTAGTTGAGATGTGATTCTTCATTTGATGCGTTAAATTTTATTGAAAAATAATATAAAATATATTTTAATATAAAGTGGGGCAAAATGGGTGTTTCACGTTGGTAGGAAAAATGCAATCTTTCAATAAGTTTCGTTGGTTTTTAAATGTATAATTCTTATACAGATTTGATTTTATGCAGAATGACTGAATTCAGGATGAAAGGATGCAGGATAACGCCGGTTCAACTTGCTTGAACATGATCAACGTAAAGCTTTAAAAGAATATCATTACCAATTACCATATAAAGAATGTTCTATACATCTCAATACAAGCATGGCCACGTAGAAGTTACACAATAATCTTGCAACTTACTCTTTTTCCATGTGCTGGTCGTAGGAAGAGAGTTCAGGTTGTGGGTTACAGGTTCGCCGTCGCACGTTTTCACCAGCAAAAATGAAACCATCATCTTCAGCTTTGAGAGAGTCAGCTTCACCAATCTGTGAAATGAACGTGAGGAAGAGAAAATACATTTGTTAGTTTGTAAGGTTACCACCAAGATAAGTGATTTCAGTGAAATTGAACAACTTTTCAAGAAATAATCCTGTCTCCAAAATAACCTGCATCCCAACGATGCCTCAAAGAGTTTATTGTGAAAGCAGAGATAATGTATCAATTCATGCTAAACTTCACATTTCATCAAACAATTTGCTTCATCCATATTCCAGGCAATATTTACCATTGGCCTAACAAGATAATTATTCTTATTATTCTCATAAATGCCATTTTTTCATTTATATAAATCAGTTTAGCTTAATTCTAGTCCCACATCAATAAAAAATAACAAAGCATACGCTTAACATAATGAGACAAAGACAAAATAAGATAAGAAGTAGCAACTATTTAATAAGCACAATCTTATCTTATGTTCATGACAGATAATTGTTTGCACAATCAACTAGTCAAAGTAATTTAATATATCCATGAATGTCTCATGAATGGGTGCATTTATAATTTTTCATACATAACCTCCAAAAACAAGAGCTGATCATTAATAAAAAAATTGGTCTCCCCTAAATACCATGGGATGCCACTCACTCTATCTGCTGATATTCCAGTGGACTCATCATTATTACTACCATCATTGCAGTCACTGCAATCCATCATCTCTTTTTTGGCAAGTCCACCTACACTATACTTCTTATCTGAAAAAAGAATACCAAATGGTAGAGCGTCATGCAATAACAATGAAATCATATAAGTAATTATGCTCATGTCTCTTATATATGTAACCTCAATTACAACTAACAACAACACTGACTAAAACTTTAAATGGCTTTGCAATAAAACCCAATTCAAGAGTGAAATTTAACACAGTAATTTCAAGTTGATGGCCAGCATGTCATTATTAACTAAGGAAAAGCAAGACAGACATGACGATTATTTCAGATATTGAAACTAACCCAGTAGGTTGTGATCAATCAAGTCATCATGGCATGGCTGCAGCACAGGCAGGTAATAAACTGCAGCTGCTGCAGCAAGTGATATGAGGAAAGCCACCATGAGTACCATTGAGGCGTTGCCATAGACCACCAGCCATGACTCATACCAAGCCTGCAAATATAAGACACAGTCAACTATATTCATCAATATATCAGGAGCATAACAGGAGCATAGCTCACGTTAAAAACACAAAAATAATAAGAAATCCTAAGCATGTAAAAAGTTTCAGCAAAATACCTAGTTTTGAGGTTCTAAATGCATAATACATATTTATTTCAGACATACTATCCCAACATTAAATTGAAAATTATATGTTATGCAAGGCCATCTAAAAACTAGAAAAAAATTATCAGAGATGTGGTATAATGATATTCACAGAAAAAACAGCATCATAGAATAGAATTGACACCAGAAAAAGAATTTAAACAATGCACTATTGACAGAAAAATATTTACAAATGACGTCAAAATAAGCTTTGAAATTTTCAAGGATAGGTACACAGGAGCAATTCAACCTCCAATATTCAATGAGATGATTAGTGAAGTTTATGTTGAGCATACAGAATAAACCGCCTAGCAGACTAAAAATAAATGCAAATTATCAAACAAATGATAAATATCTTTGTTTATCAGCAATGCTGAAGATACCATGAAGCTTTAAACTATTAAGCTCTTTATCTTAAATTAGCAAAGCTGATGCACCAATAATCAATGAAACCAAGTAGAATGAGCAGTAAAAAATCTGGCCTGGCTTCAGGCTGGGAATATCAATGGTATTGATTATTGGTGGCAGATTAATGAAATTGTCATAGACTCCTTGTATTGGCCAGGTTTTTTCATAATTCTTCCCATGAGAATGTGAAGGACAGGATTCAAAATTATGTCCTAAGGCTTCAGATGCTTTGGTTGCTACTTAATAAATTGATATGGATAATAAAGTGTATAATTTTAATAAATACACTGACCTCCCAAGTTTGAGAGTTGATGTAGCCAGCAGAGGATGCCATCTGAGAAGGTTCAGAATTTTCATCAACCTGAATTATTGATGGAAAGCATCATTTGCTCTGAAAATTATAATGAAAATAAAATAAGATAAATAACATACAGTAATAATAATCTGAAGTAGAATCATTTCCATTTCATTTTATTAATAATTATAATGCAAACCACTAACTAAAAGCTGATACCTACTCAATGACCCATTTAAACAGTTCTAAATTTTCAAGTTGGCATGATTGAATCCTTGGCAAACATAAAACTGATAGAAGTACATAGCTAGCAATCAGAGCTGATTTGGCAAGCATCCCTCAAGGCAAGCATCCCCATGCAAATCAGTGCTAATGTCTTTTTTATTTAGAGTCAACATTGTTATTGCAGACAAGAATCAGGCATTTACATATCAGTACCTATACATTTTTGAACATCAAATGTATTCACAGTAGATGTAGGAAATGCAGTAGTATAAATTTTTAACATCAAATGTATACAGCAATCCCTTGATTAGCACGGTTTTGAATACCGCGGTTTTGATTAACGCGGGAAAAAAATTTGCGACCTACCCTTAATCTACGTGGTGCCAGTTTTGATTAGCGCGAATTTTTTTCACAACGCATCATTTTCCTGCCTCTAGCCAGAGGTGTTACGTTCATAACAAAAGTGTTACTTTTTGCTTATTAGATCTTATGTTGTTACTTTTGTTACAACTTTTGAAAAATTCGCCAAATGTTACTTTATGAATTTCAGCCAATAATTCTTTAAATAAGGTCCTGTTCCGTAGGCACTCGTGCTGACTACAGAGTCGGTTTAACTGCGCCTTGTCTCGTTCATAACTCGAATGGTCGAGTTCGGCAACGTTCGCCGGTAGGTGCGCCATGCCGGTGCTCTAGTTACTCGTTAGCCTTCAACTGGTCAAGATCGCTGCCATATCTACTGCTCACTTTTATCAAACTACTTAATTTTCCTTGATAAATTACCGTCATAATTATGGACAAAAAGGGAACGCTTAAACGTAAAAATATCACTTTGGAGACTAAGCTTGAATGATGAATTGAACTAAGCAAAAAATGATGAATTTTAGTAGAAAAAAAAATTATTATGTAACTTTGCTATTTTTGAGGATTCATTATAATTATTCCCATATATTCTTAAGTTTGATTAGCGCAGTTTTGCTTAACACGGTTAAACTTGGGGATTTATTAACCGCGTTAATCAAGGGATTGCTGTACACAGTAGATTTAGGAAATGCACTCAAGTTATGAGCAAGTGCAATTGTGGAAGCAATAGCATCAACAACCTCACTTGGCAACAGCCTATGATGTACTGCAATGGCTCCAAGAGCTAACACTCAGCTCCAGTCAATCATGCCCATTCATGCGTTTTCATTACAAGCCTACCTCGAGTCTTTAGACAAGGTCAACATAGTGGGCAATATAGATTTGATGATTTGTTTATCTGAAAGCTTTTGGAAAAAAATTTGACCAAGGAAAACGTCCTGCCCAAACTGCACTGACAAGTGTAACCATTGCTTTCAAGAAAATATTTTATTTAGAAAAATTCCATAAAAACCTATAGGTACCTAACTTCCTGAGACAAGATTTTCAACAACTTTACAATCATGTGGCCTAATGTTGATGTTGTACCTTAGTTAACAATTAGATAATGATTAATTCATTAACAGAAATGTCCTCCTCAATATTGAGGTCTTCTGGGAAGTTCAAGTTCTCACTTGGTCATGATTCCATACAATTTTACCTCTTAGTATAACCCTTCCTAACCCTTAATTTCTTCATTAAAATACATTTTTGAGAACAATTTCAGAACAATAGTTTTAACCGATGATTTTTCAGAAAATTCAATCCAACTGTCCAACATGGGAGTGTTCTTGAATCCTGATCAAGGGTGGCATGGGTAAAATTGTACCATAGGCACTGATGGAATTATACTGCAGGTACAGGTGATTTTCTGATCCACAGGTGGCTTCTGCCATTTTGAACATAGGAATTAGGATTATGGTCACAAATATGCATTATGATTATGCAGTGCCTATCAAAGTCTGCAACTGAAAGGCAGTAATTTTACTATTATCCCTTTTGCCACATTGAAAATTAGAAAGTCATCTTTTATCATTTGATGCAACAATACAAAAGTTAGAGCAGTCAATTTATAGTTTAATCTTATAAAGCACAATAGTTATATTAACCCATTAGTCGATAAATTTCTAACATGTACAAAAAAAATTTGAAGTAATTTTTTTGTGTGGGACATGATTCTAATTAAATTAAGAATTGTTCCCTATTGTTAAAATTATTCATTGTATAAAATTTGAGAGACAGCATAAATGACCACATGTGCAACTGAAATAGATTACAATAGCTCAAGATAACACCTCCTGGCCTCCCCTTAATTGAAGCCAAGGCAAAGGTTGCACAGGTGACACTGACAGGCCACTGAAGTTGCTTCATTCCTAAATTATATAAAAGTAATAATATTACCTAGTGTAGTTAGGCAGAAGTTCTTCATTTATGCAGATTTGATTGAAGACCAGAGCATACTTTTTATTTAAGTTACATCAGTTTGAGTTTTGACCAGCAGGACCATGAGCCACCAACTCACATCAGTCACATGGCACATGCCATGTTATCAAAAAGGCATTAACAGAAATATTTATTCATTTTTTATTGGTTTCAAGACTTTGGTTATGAAGACGTCAAACTTACATGTCTGAACACATGAGATTTTTTGTTAGAGCTTTGTTTTATCTTGCTGTTTTTGCCTTGATTTAGATTTCTTTCATACTCAGACAAAATGTTGGGGCAACTGGGGTTGTTGTAAGAGAAAACAGAATTAGGCACTCATTATTTTTAAAGGGTGTACACCATGTTCAGCAGGTCTAAGCCTTAACTGAAAAATTGGGCTGAAGCCACCAGTAATTTCCTCATTTACTCAAGATTTAAACCAATACCATAAAATGGGGTAACTTTGACCACTTTTTTTTCAAAATGATGCCATTTTTTTACTAGATAAGTTAAACTTAAATTGAAACATGCAAAATACAGGTCTATACTCTAGCTTTACTCACCATAAATTGCTGGCTCCTGCCTCTCAATAGTTTTGATGTAATTTAAAAAAAAAGTGATGGTCTTTGTTACCCCAGCTCTTGGGGTTTCTTTGACAGGGTGGTAAAATCAATTTTATTTTTTGGTAAAATAACTCCAAATAACTCCAGGTTGTGGTGCATTGTACTTGTAGTAGAACTCTTCTAGTTACATATGCAAAAGACAAATTTTAGTAAAGTGTCATAGTTTGCAAATGTGGGGTGCCGCCCCCAAATGGGCGAAATGTGACCACCTAATGGCAGCCGTGACGGGGTAACATAGACCGGTTTGGAAATTAAGTTAAAATTACCATACATAAGACTCTGTAAGTCTGTAGAGTCTGAAACATGAAGAAAAAAACATTAATAGGTGTATCAAACTGTAATGAAGCCTCTATACTTCATTGGGGTTCGTTACACGGATACTTTCAAACATCTGCGAACAAAGCTAATTTTTATTGAACTAGAACAGAACAAACAGTAAATTACACAGTGATATAAATGAAGATACTGGACAAGCTAGATGCCATGCCCAATAAAACAAGTTACAATGGGTGTAACGAGGTTGTGGCACTTCCCAGCTCCTAAGAGCCCACTGGGAACTATCCAGAGAAGATCTTGGATCGTTCGGTCCCGAAGACAGCCCGCTCCAGACCCGCAACCCTACATTGAAGATAAATACCTACATTCAAACAGACTACTTACTTTGGCACATACATAACTGAATAAACAAAGTGTTATCATTTTATATCCAAATAGTATGACACAAGAATAGCAAATTTATTGTAACAATTAACTAGATCTAGTAAAGCAGCTCACCAATAGAGGCCGATTAAGTTCACTGGGAACACAGCAGAAAAGTGGCGCATTCAGTCAACTAGGCCTAGAATTGGGTTGTTCACGGGAGGACTGCTTCGCAACGACTGACCTAAGGCACAGTTTTGTATCTCGTGAGAATTATTACATGTTGTTGCCATATAAGATAAAACTTACAACCTTACACAAACATAAAATAGGCTATGTTATATAGGTACCTACAGTAATTTTAACTTAATTTCCAAGCCGGTCAATGTTACCCCATCACGGCTGCCATTAGGTGGTCAAAGTTGCCCCATTGGGGGGCGGCGCCCCCCATTTGCAAACTATGACACTTTCCTAAAATTTGTCTTTTGCATATGTAACTAAAAGAGTTCTTCTACAATGCATCAAAACCTGGAGTTATTTTACCAAAAAATAAAAAAAATTGGAGGGGGTACTCCAACAGGCATTAAATAATAGCTCTTTTTTGTGGGTCACATTTTAAATTTTTTAACCTATTAGATATGCAAACTTTTTAGATCTTTCTATTGAGTTATGTAGCCTCAGTATTAGGCCTTTGATGGCCATTGACAAAATTTTTCTATGTCAAATCGTTTTTGAGTTTTGGGGGTCTTTGTTAAAAAAACGAAAAGTGGTCAAACTTCAAAGTTACCCCGACCCCGCCGGTCAAAGTAACCCCATTTTACGGTATCTAATGTATGCTAATATAATCAAATGCTGGTATCCATGATACCATGAAACAGAGGCTAAATATGGCAAATGCCCTTTGAAAATAATCAGTGCCTAATTGTTTTTCCTCTTACAAACCCACCCTTTAGCAGGCTCCCCTCTGCCCTCTAGCAGGCTTACGCACCACGCACGGAAAGGAGGATGAAAGATATGCTGGTCTTGGGCAATGCTGGCCTCTGGCATGCATCCCGATAAATGTTATGATAGATAGTTGCCTCACACCGATATACCGCAAGTCCGCAACGCAAAAAAATAATTTTTTTTTAATTGCTTTAAGACTTCGGGTATGAACAGATCACACCTCCCAGCCTGAGCACAACTGGGTTTCCTTGTACTATATTGCCACTCTGATTTCAAAGTAGATCTCTAAGGCCTCTCACCAGCCGGTGGCTGTTGTATGGAAGGAAGTACAAAAGGATTAGACACTGGAAATTTTTCAAAGTTTGTTAGCCATGTTGCATCC